CATTATTATGGTCTTACTGTATGCAAGTGCTTTAAAAACAAGCTATGTTTTCTATGGATGGGTTGTTACCTGAACTATTTTATCATCTTCAACCTGACCCATTACACCATAACACTTTGACAACTGTTGCTCTCCAATGTCTTTAGCAATGTCTCTACAAATTTAAAAAAAAATTTAATGAAAAACTAAACTATGCACAAATTTTTTTTTGCATCAGACACAACAAATGTATTTTTGCAAGCATGCCCAGTGCACTATATTTGTTGTAATTAAGACATTTTCCAACTAGTAAAATTCTCTACAGAAAATTATCAATGTTTACCAAGACAGTAAAATATTCAATTTAATTCAAAACCCCTTTATTGTATCTTTATTTCTTAGATCAAATTTGCTTGGTATTTTGAAACAAATAAGGTCAACACTGATGTCTTTATGGGTGTATCACAACTTCTACATGGAAGGGGTTATCAGTTAGCTATCATGGAAGTTTATTTTCATTAGAAAACTTACTACTACATGTACTACTGCTGGAAAAATCCATATACAAATGAAGGGGTAATGTTTGAGGATATCTATTGACACTATATATAATGTACCTTTGTAACTGTGCTATCTGGTCCATAACTATGGTCTTGTTGTTGGGATCTCCTAGCATTGCTAAAATATACCAAATACTGACTTCAGTAAATCACGTCAAGGGTGGAGATGCATTTTTTACTTGTGATAAAAAGATATGGTAAATCATATTAATTATTTTAAATGTGAAATCAATTTTTGAAATATACCTTCAATAACAAAGAGTAGAACTCTTGATGGTATTTTTTGAGTTTGCAAAGTGTACATAAGATTTCTGATAATGAGTATCCCATACTTTGTCTGAACAAAACCTTTGATTTCATTCAGAAAAGAAATATGTTAGGTTTGAAAAGTTAAGTAATAACTGAATCACAGCGCATTATTCAAGAGATGATAACTTTGATTTTCAGTTTACTCTTTTTAAGGCAAAGGCATGCTTTTTTATAAGGAAGACAGGTGGGAAGGTAAGATTAAGTATTGAAATAATGTATATCTGAAAGTGCAGCAGAAAATCAGCAAATATCATATATTGTGGAAACATTAATTTCCAGGAGGTATAAATTATCATTAATGTCTGGGTTCATTGAGACCACTAAATTTTTTCCCTACACAATTTACACTTTTTATGAAACCATGGCTATTCAAACCTGTAAACAATTTATCAATCTTTAGTATTGGACAACTATCAATTTCATGATATTTTCAGCTATCATTTTTAATGGATTTGCTTCATAATCTTTATTCAGACATGTACTAATAAATAATTGACGAAGTTTTAACATTACATGGTAACGAATGATATGAACAAGGTTATGAATAGAATTAAATGTTAATAGGAAACAAGGAAAGTCAATATTTCAGGAAGCCAAAACCAAGTTTGATTCTAAAGTCTCATAAAAGATCACTTTGGGTATTCCTGTGATGGGAAAACACTTCATACTCACTTGCATCTATAAGAAGTAAAAAATACTTTGGTTAATAAAAGCAATTAATAAAAAATATAAATTTATGTAAACTAGATCATAGTGAGTATTTGTTGATAATGCTGCGTAAAACATACATAGACCACAGAATTATACTAAAAATAGAAATACAGGTATGTAAATCTATGACCAATTGAATTTCCTCTCAATACATTGTTATGATTCTATAAAAGATCAGTTTTACCTGTAATTCCTCTCAATACATTGTTATGATTCTATAAAAGATCAGTATTACCTGTAATTCCTCTCAATACATTGTAATATTTCTATGTAAGATCAGTTTTACCTGTAATTCCTCTCAGTGATTCAGTTGTTACTTTTCTTTCAAATGGCTCATGGCTTCTAAAACACAAATTACATATAAAACTTATTAAAATAGTGGTTTTTAAAATCAAATAGATGGAAAAAAATGAAATTGTTTCAAAGTTTTACACATTAATATTATTAAATTTCTCGTACATGTTATATAAATAACTAATGTGAAGTAGTCACCAAACAAAAAAAGTTTTCTAAAACATTTGTATAGGCTTTAATCAAAGGACAAGCCCACACATATGATAAGTGCTTAATCACCCAAAGTCTAGATAAGTTGTATAGTATTTTTGATCTGTAATAAGCCCATTTGATCATATTAAACCAAAGTTTGAGAAGCTTATGCATAAAAGTATTGATACATAGCATAAAATAAACAGGTTAACAAAGATGAATGACATGTCAATCTCCCAACAATCTTTAAATGTTTTCTAACACCGTGTAAAGGAGTAAGTTGGAAAAGGCCCTAAAATGGCCACTTATTCTAGCTTAAATTTGAAATTAGGTTTTATTGACCAATGTCACAATGAATCATAGCTAATACAATGACTAGATAGTCTTTTTATTGAAAATTTACGTTCTTACGTAAATTTTCATTGATAATTTTGACAGGAAACATAGAGCACATGTGTCGACAAAATAGATCTTTTAACATAATGTTTGTCATGACATATTACATATCTGACTTGAATATTTAGTTTGTCGACGCCTGAGCTCTATGTTTCCTAAACCTTAATTTGGTTGAAATCCAGACGATTTTGTCCTAATTCACAGAAATCTCTATTTTTTACCTATTTTGGATGTTTTGAACGTTTGAAAAAAAGTTTTTTTCTGTAAAATTATTGTAGTATATCTCAACTCTGGAATTGAAAAAAGTAATATATAATCCACCAGTTCAGGTTATTAGTGCATGAGTAAATAAGTATTAGTGTTTGATATCAAATATTTAATAAGTTTATAAACACCTATTACCATCTTGAACTCAACTGATCAGTTGCTCAGCAAGAATTTGTATGGAAAAAGAAAAAAAATTATATATATCATTGAATTCTAGTAGTATTTTTTGGTACCAGTGTAAAAATAAAAATCTCTTTTTGTCATAATTTGCTAATGCTTATCAAAGATAAAATGTATTTTACTTCTCAAAATATTAAAGTTAAATGACAGAAATTTATTTATCACAGTAAAAGAATTTGTGACTTGATAACAGGGATAAATTCAAATAAAACATCAGTAACTTGCATCCAATAAACCTAAACCAATAAAACTTGAGATTGATGTATACGTACAATAAAATTTAAAATTGTCTACCTATCAGTTTTGAAGAACACATTTTCAAAGCATACTCTAGCAACTGGAGTGTGAAAATGAATGTGACAAATAATGCTGACTTATCACACTTACATAGTGCGAACCAACCTGGTTACAGGAGGGAAAACAGAGAGTAATTTTTTTAGTGACAATGACAGGCTGACAAGGTTTTGTCATTAGCTAAATGTATACAATTTTGAGCTTAGTTAAAGAGAGGATGAGATATAAAGGTATTTGTAATTGTTGAAATCTCTGTTATCAAAGTAACACATGTTTCTGGCTTCTGAAGAGCTAAATTGTAAGTGATACAAAAATGAAGTGTACTCTAAGGTATATACTAAAAGCTGATATATGTTATTTATTGCATATTGTGTTATCATATATCCCAAAACACATTGTCTCAACAAGGCAAAGGCAGGATCTTGATATATAAAATTACTAAAAAATTAAATGGTATTACTACAAAAAATGATTAAATCAAACATTGTCAAAACAGCAAACAATCAGCATGCTAAATCAGTTTACAACATTTGACATTTGTATGTACATCAATGAAAATTTAAAAGGGCTTTAAATAAGCCTTAAAGAAATTCTGTCTATGTGATTGCTACAGCTATTCTATAAACACTGCATGTTTGTTTTGGGTATAATACTGGAATAATTAGAAGACACCTTTTTAGAATGTCAACCATGCATTAAAGTTTTAAACTGACTTTCCATCATGTTCTTACAAATATATCTCTATTACAAAATAACCTATAAAATTCTACAAAAGTGTCTTCCAAACAAGGATTCAGATATCTTTAGAATAGCTATTGGACAATCATATAGAAGATAAAGCTAGTACCTATCATCATTAAGATAACTAAAATCCTGATCACTGTCTTTGCCTTTAGGGCTGTATGATACATACTCTCTTCTTGGGTAAAGTCTGACAGCCTGGGCAGAGGCATAGGAGGTGTCTGGTGACTAAAATTACAATGTACAATTCTATTAAATTGAATATAACATATCAATTATCAAGACATTTTAAGCAATTAATTTGATTTTCAAAAATTCATGAGTGATATTTGTGTATATATTTATTAATACTTAATATTTGAGTGATGTTTCTTTATATATTCATACTTAATATTTACTGTTTTTATCCAAATAATCGAGTTTGTCAATTAAATTGGAAATTAAATGGATTCCTCTTCCAACAAATATGTTTTGACAAACAAACTTAGACAGCACCTAATTTGAATGACTAAAGAAAGTATGTCTTCCTATTTTGAATTAACAATCACCTTTACATAACAAAATTTTGTCAAATGTACTGGTACTCACCAGACTGGTACCTGGATCACTGTATTTTCTGTTCCTTGCTAAAATTTACAGAAAATGACAGAATGGTTGACATGTCAGATTTATACAGTATAAAGTTAATAGGAGTTTATATATGGCTGTCATCAAGGTTCAAAGTGCTTAAAGCAGTAGATTTTCTGTTTGAATTAGAAATAAAAGCAATCATTATAGATGCAGGGCTTAAACAAATTTATCTAAATTTCTATAAATTGTGTGCTGGTATTGACTTGAACTTCAACCTTTAAGTTATTTACTTCTCTGTTTGTGCTTGTATTTGATTGTTTTTTGTTCTGATTGTGCATTGCAGATTTTCTGTACAGTATTTACAGCATTAAATTTAATTACAATAAATGGTATAATGAAATTGAAATTACCAAAGCAAATATCTAAAGTAATCTTTGATGTGAACAAAATCGAAGTTTATTTAAAACAGTTTAGCAGTATTTCAGAAAAATTTTAACTGATTAAGTGTCTTATTATTACCTTCCTTCTTTTAATATCCTGCTTTCTTCTTTTTCAACTATAAGGAGACAAATGTACATTTTTTACAATATATGTGGGTATGCTAAATAATTTCTAACTTATCATTATGATCATGGCAACAGCAATAAATTGAATTTGAGGGAAAAAAAAAGATAACTCTTTTTAGCTGAAGTTCTGAAGACATTTTCATAGCAGCATTTATCTCACTACGAATATTTTCACATAATTTGTACTTCTATTTTGTAAAATTTTATAATCAGTTAGGGTAAAATACTAACATGCTTCTCCTCCTCCTTCTGTATGTCCTGCAGAATTCCATCAGATTTCTCATCATCCAATGACATAGTCTTCTTCAGTCCCTGAACAATTTGTTTTGCTGCATCTTTGGGATTTTTCTTCAATAAATTTTTTAGATCTTCCCCACTTAAACCCCTATGTTCTTCAGTCGGACTTTCCTTTCTATTAAGAAGAGTAGCTGCAACTAAGTCCTCTTTCAGATTTTTGCCGGTATTAGAATGTTTAAGTTTCTCTGGACTAGAATTTATACCATTAACATTGCTGTTGGGTTGTATGTTCACAGGATGTAATATTGTCCCCTCATCATCTGAATCACTTAAATGCTTTATAGTCCCATGGTAAACAAACGTTCCTTGATCCTCTTCATCGGAATCACTTTCACTCTTGAGTGTTCCTCTATAAACAAATGTTCCTGAGTCTTCTTCATCACAATCCTCGTTCTTTTCCACCAGAGTATCACTTGCATTTTTCTGATTTTTTGGCTTTTTTTTTAAATGACGGTATTTATTTAACTCTAGTGAGTTTACCAATTCATGAACTTTTTTTTCATTCAATTTCCTGATATCATCCTCCATTTCATGAATACGATTTGTGATATTTTTCCATGAAGTCAATGAGGAGCCACTACCACTGCTGCTGCCGTCGGAACTACCTAGTGATCTGATTTTCTTTTTCTTTGATCTAACGGCAAGTTCTTGGTCATAATCTTCATCAAAATTGTCAAATGCATTTGTCTAAAATAATAAATTACTTTTTTATTCAAAGTGTCTCTCAATTTATATATTTTTACATGCATTTTCAAATTAATAGTCAATCTTTCACTTAACCTATCCAACTTTTACCAACAAAGATATAACCAAACAAAAGAATAATAGTAATATTTGTACTAAGACACTGGATTAAATTGTCCCAAGTCAGAAATATTGTAAGTGATTACCAATGTCTCTTCAAGTATATTTGGAAATTTAAATTGGTTGTCTTTGTTGAAGTCATTCATTCACAGACTAGCCTCATGGCTATTAACAGACTGTAAAAAGACAGGGATGGGGCTTGTTAATTAGTAATGTCTAGATGTTTTTTTGGGGGTATACTTATGTTCTCCTTTTGTTAATAATCAACATAATACTTAAGTTATATTTTTATATAAAATAGTTAAAACTAATTATACTTGTTTAAGATAAAAAGATAACAGCTGTGAATTTTCATCACAGATAAAAAGTATACTTTTCTCAATTTAATACACACAAGAACCTTTCCATCAATAAAAGGTTAAAGCAAAGGTTTTCAAAGTTTATGATTCAGCAAGCATACAAAAAATTAATTGATGTTTGTTATGAATGACTTAAGACTTATTTCATATTTAAATGCCAATCTGTACAACAGGCCTCAATGGTTGAGTGGTTTAAGTAGATTATCTACAAAGATAGCTAGCCTCTCAACACTGAAGTTGTGAGGTCAAATCCCGCTCAAAGAAGGTGTGTCTGACTCCAATCTTAATTGACTAGGATTGGCAGTTTTCCTGCTGAAGGTCGGTGGTAAAACCGAGAGTGCTGAAAATGGCATTAAATACAAACAATCAATCCAATCTGTACTAACACATAATAAGTAAATTGTCATACCTTTAGTAAATTCTTTTGAACATACTGGTGATTCATGATGTAGAAAGCTGTTGGTCTTAAAAAGTCATCCTTTTGCAACATGGCGTATGCAAGATCTTCTAGAGTTGAGCTATACCCTTGAGGCAGCTTAGGAGGCTGAAGCAAATGACAAATGCAAGTAAATATTCTGTGTGAAAATTTTTGCAGCTGGATTTCCTTATAAAACAACCAATTATTATAAGGATTTATTGGACAATGACTGTCAATATACAAGTAGGCTTTGCAAGGTAGTCAGGCAAATTTAAATTTGATTAAGTCTGAATATATATATAAATAAATAAATAAAAAATTGAAAATATTAATGGAAATTCTGCCTCATTTACTTTAAAAAATATGCTGAGCATAACAAAATTTCAATTATAACACTTAATGATCAACTTCTACTTAATTCAGACTACCTTTTATAAAGTATCATGAAAATAAATTCATCTCACTCAAAATTTTGAAACATTTGAATTTACTGAAATAAAAAGTATGTTTTATGATATTTTTCTAGTACAAGTTTATACAAACCTTCCCTGATATCACATTGTGGATTATTTTAAATATAGCTTTTCCTTCAAATGCTTTCTTTAGTGCCATCATTTCAAAAACACAGCATCCTAAGCTCCAAATGTCAGACTGAAAAAAATTAAGTTGTCATATTTAGAGGGACAAATACATGTATACCTGATGTTAAGCTGAACTACATTTCCCTAATAACCCTGATCATCCATATTGTTATTTAATATATCACTTTATATCACAATAGCTTTTTTGATTCATAAAATGAAGATTTTATTCTATATTTTACCATAAAAGGTTGCTAAGACATAATCAACCAATTTTTTTAACCAAATTTGGTGGATGTAGAGCTTTCTGATAAATCACAATTTTATGTCAGTTAAAATGTAACATAGACATTTAGATTACAAAATTCTTTGTACAAGTACCATTTTATACTTACACGATTGTTATAAGCTTTTTGTTCGAACAATTCAGGACACATATAGGCAGGTGTTCCCACAAAACTGTTAGCTTTACTCTGACCAAGGTCCAGCACTCTAAAAAATATATTTCATCTTTATGTATCAATCAAATCTTACAAAAATGCATGCATTGATTTTTTAACATCATTTTCAAATGGACATTAAAAGCGAGCATAATTCAAGAAAAAAAATTACCCATCAGCAAAAGTTTGAATTACATTGTACAATGAATATCATTTGCATTAAACAGTCTAACATTGAAAAAAAAAAAAAAAACTTTTTGGAACTTCAAGACAAAAATTGGCAGAGGATCCCTATTCACGGCCTGTCTTTGAACCCAAAATAGAAGCATTCTCTTTTAAAATTTTGAGCTTTTAATAAGTTGAATTTATAATATTATCTGTAATCATTTGATCAGAATAGCTTTTTTTGGGAAACTCATTCTCCAAAAAGTTAGATTGTGGTATTCTAAATCTAGCATAACATGTGAGAAGTTCAAAAGCAGGTCAACCCTACTTATACTTATAATGGATCTAAACCTCACATTAAAGATCATTTACACAAAATAAGCTCAATAACTTATTTAATGACTTGCACAGCAGAAAAATGTTATTTTTTTGTAAATGTCCTACTTAATCGGTCAAAATTTAGTAAAAAAAAAGTAGGTCAACTTGAACATCATGCTTATCTTGAATTTAATGCAGGTACCATATTTTCACATCACTGAAGAAATTCAGTTATCATCAAAACACTGAACAACATATATTGCTACTTTATGTATTTTCATTCTTTATCATAATAATAGATGTTATCTCTTGCACGTCACAAAGGATCAATTTATTGATTTCTAAAAACCTACTATCTATGTATATAACTTACTTTGCTATACCTAGATCACCAATTCTAACATTCCAGTCAGTCATGATAAAAATGTTCTTTGTTTTTAAATCTCTGTGTAATATCTTTCTTTCATGTAAATACTAAAAATAAACATCATATATATGAAATAAAAATTTGTATTGTGTAATTCTTCTATCATTTGTCTGTAAACTGAAACTAAACAATTACCTGCACACCAACCCTTTTACCTTCAGGAAGAGATAAATAAATATCTTGTTGGTTGTATTTCTTGTATAACAATATATATAAATATTAATTTAGGCATAAGAGTATATTCAGCAATCTATTTGTTGTTGAGGAAAATTTCCATTAAAACTTTTGTTGTTCAGGAAAACGTTAAATCACTGTAAAGAATGTGATGCACTTAGGACCTTATTTTGGTTGGAACATTGTTTTACAAAATCTCTTGATATTTGCATAAAAATGATTGATTTATAATGAAGGTATGTATCTGAACTGTAAGGTTATTAATGTTTTTTGTAAATTTAAACTTACATGTAAACCACTTGCTATCTGATATATCCATATTGCTATCTTATTTTCTGGTAACCTTTCCTCTTGTCGTGACTTGTATTCCAAGTAAGTCTCTAGATCACCACGTTCACAGTATTCTGTCACAATAAACAAGCTATCATCCTCTTCAAATGACTCCACATACTGTAAGATATTGTCATGGCGAAGGTTTGATAACAAATCTGCTTCTCTTTTAGCCTGTTCCCTTTCTGATTCTTGATCACAAAAGTCTATCCTTTTGAGAGCAAACTACAATCAAACAATATATATAACAATGTGAGGCAAAACATCAATGAGACAGCAACCCAAAAACACAATTAGTTGTCAACATACAGCATTCAACCATAGGCAATTATCATTATCACAGGGTTCTCACTAAGGATTTTTGTAGGCGAGTCCAGGAACTCATTGTTTTTGGGCATAGCAATACATTAACTAAATATTTTTAAGTCTTCATGACAAAATAGAGCAAGGATTGGAAATGAAATCACATTCAGGTTAATTTTTAAGTTCTTGCTATGAAATAATGATAACTGAACTATGAGCTGGTGCAACCTTGATTCATTTTCAGACTCACTTAAACAGATATGTACACTTATATGTATGTAACAACGTATTTGATTTCAACGAAAGAAATCTCTGTATTACTGAAAAATTATTACACCAGGGTTTTCGATATCACAAACTAGTCAAAACATTTACTAAATTTTATCATTGGTACAAGGACATCATTCGTAAATATAAATCAACATGCAGACATCTTATACTTTCGGGTATTTCACATCCAATATTTTATGGTAATATTCTTTACAAAGCACGAAAATGTCGGCATTCACCTTAAAAGCTAACCAAACCTTTAAACAGACTTATTCGGAAAGGATATAGTTACGATACCGTTGTCAAGTCATTAAGGATTGCATATTTTGGTATTAATATTGATTCACTCATAGGGTCTTTGCATCAGAAATAAACATATTTATTCTAAAACCAGTTATTGGCATGATACGGGTTATGTTCTTCTCATATATTTTATGATGGTATGATACTAAACCCCTTACAGGAGGGATTGTACTTAATTTTCATATGATGAAGACATAATCTTTCAATCAGTTTGATTGAGGTCTGGAGCTGGCATGTCAGTAACTGCTAGTAGTCCTTTGTTCATTTATGTATCATTGTCATTTTGCTTAGTTTCTTTTGTTACCTATTCTGACATCAGACTTCTTTTAAACTGAGTTTTACTGTGCGTATTGCTATGTGTTTCTTTATTCTACATTGGCTAGAGGTATAGGGGAGGGTTGAGATCTCAGAAAACATGCTTAACCCCGCCGCATTTTGGCGCCTGTCCCAAGTCAGGAGCCTCTGGCCTTTGTTAGTCTTGTATGTTTTTTTAATTTTAGTTCATATATATGTAATTGTTTTGGAGTTTAGTGTGACGTCCATTTTCACTGAACTAGTACACAATTTTATTTAGGGGCCAGCTGAGGACCACCTCCGTGCTGGATTTTCTCGCTGCGTTGAAGACCCATTGGTGGCCTTCGACTGTTGTCTGCTCTTTGGTCGGGTTGTTGTCTCTTTGATATATTCCCCATTTCCATTCTCAATTTTAGAAAATGATGAGCCGAGAAAGATTTTTTAAAATCCTGTACTCATGGATTCCTCTTAGTGAGAACCATGTTATCAACCTATAAATTGCAACAGACTCTAGCCAATTCAAGCTGCAAATAAATTAAACTGCCATAAAAGCAATTCTTTAAAATAAAAAAAAAAACTAAGATAAAAACAAAGACAACCATTTAAAAAGTTCCTGACTTGGGACAAGCATACTGACATGAAGTGGAATTTTTTTTTAATACTCTACTCTCCCTCCTTTTTTCTCCTGTATCAGTTTCAAAGTAGAATTATAAGTATGATTAAGTAATCCTAAAAGCATTATCAAAACTGAATATGTTAAAAAATCTTCCATCCTCTCTCTCCTCAAATTAAAAAGCCTTACAAGAAACAGTAATGTCAATATTAACGTCTGACCCGAGCAATTAAATCAGGAACCATAATGTCAGGAACTGTTAAATTGACAATATGTTTAATTGATCTTATGGGTTCGGTTGAGCAGGGTGAATTTTTAGGCTTAATACAAGCTTCACTCGTTATTTTCTAAATGGACTATAGGGTCTCACTCTGGGGTAAAAGTCAATTAAAATTAAAATTGAAATCTGGTTACTGTACTTGTTTTCCTTCACATAGTAAATCATATCTGACCCATTTCATTTTCTTTACAGTATTTTTTTCTACTTGGCTGTATATATTTTGTCTTTTCTCTTTTTATGACCCTTGTCAATGGAAGAAGACTGAATTATCCAATAAAGAATTGTACACATCAAAGATATTGGAATAATCCATGAAAACTTGCCCTTTACTTTCCATCAATTCAACTAGCCCCTCTTTCTACCAACTTGCCCCACTCATGTTAATAACCTCATCCCACTAACAATGACTTATGAAAATGAATTTAATCCTGATGAATAAAGGCCTGCCAATTGCAACTGGCCCAACTAATTAAAAGGATTTCAACTAAAATATATGAAATATGCTGTTTAATGCTTAATTTTATGATACATGATGTACCACTTTTGGTTTTCCAGCTTTATTTATGTTACTCCTATATCCACTTGTTGACACAAAATAGGATTAAAAAAATCTGAATCATTATTAGTTTTACTTTCTTGTTCACTTATTAAGGTACAACGATTTCCTGAGAACTCCCAAAAACTCAATATGAATCAGAGAACCGATTGATATTACCTGAAAATGAACAGCACATGCTACTACATTGTAGAGGATACTTCAATATCAGACAGACTTTTGAATTCAAAATGTCCAAAATTACTAAATAAAGTAACAGCCCTTTGTGGATAAATATAAAATAAAGCTTATACTTAATAATAAATCTTACATGGCCAGTAAGGGGTACTACTTGTACAAGTAGTTTTTATTTATTTGAAGAAGTAAATATTAATATACTTATATCAGTAAATTTGTAAGATGCTTATACAAGTGTATTTTATTTACTTGTTTAGGTAAAGTATTTTATTGGCTTAGTTATGTCCCTTAAACATTAAGATTTTTTTACTTATACAAGTAAAAAAGTCATACTAGCTTTTTTTCTTGAATTTCTCAGGACTTCTTTGCTCTAATAGAATTTCTAATTGTCTGTCTTTTGCAGATGTCTTTACATCATGTAAGTGTAATTTCATGGACAACGAAAATCTCATTTGTTTGTTATCTTCAGAACACTGCTCATTTCAATTTTTGAATGCCTTGCGCAATTAGTTTCTTTGTTGAATCAATGAGATGAAACATTGAACTCTAATAAAAAATTATGAACTAACCAGAGAAAAATCATTAAAGGCATGTTTTTACATCTCAAAACTAGAGAATTTTAGGGATTGTAAAAAAAATTACTTATACAAGTAAATTTTTGGAGAAAATTAAGGGGAGATTATTCAAACATTATAAGAGTAATGAACATAACAAAATTTACTTATATAAGTACATTATTATTTATTTCTTCAGGAAAATAAAAATGACTTGTACAAGTAGAACCCCTGACTGATGGCACTAAAACTATCTTTCTCTTTGGTAACAAATTGTTTCAATGCGAAAAGTAATCTATTGCAATAGATTTTCATTATTATTTTATATTCACATAATTGTTTGCATTTTACTACAATGTTTATCTATTCGGTCATTACCATTTATTGTAAATGCGTTTGTGCCAATAAAATATTGTCTATTGTCTATTAAACTCAGTCTGACAGGAATTTGATTTGTGTCCTGTATGCAAGTTCCTTGTATAACAATATGGTGTACCTAATACAGTACTACCTGTGACATTATCTTACTAATGGTGGCCATAAAAAATATGGTCACCATGATGGCCCTAAATGTCCATCATTGTACCTCCTGTTGCTTAATTAATACACAAGGTATTAATCAAAAACTAGTCAAGGATAAAGGGAAATCATGACTGCATTGAAGTGTTAAAATTATATAACTTACAGGTAAAGTGTCTCAGGTAAAATATATGTGTTTGTCAAATTTAATAACTGTGATTATGACAAGAAAATTCTAAAATAAAATGAAATAATAAAACTAGTTGAACATATAGCTTCCTAACTTTTTTTTGTAAAATTTTTCTCATGACTGTTTGTTTTGATATTATACCATGTATACCTTTTAAATAATTCTCTCAATTTAAGTTATTTGTTACATGTATTTTTTAGCAAGTGTATGACAAATGAATATCATCTTCTAATATAATGCAAACTTTCACATCGCCTGCCTTTTTCTATTGAAAAGGTGTTCTCAAATTAATTTTCTAAAATCAAAATTGTTTACTGCTTACTGCATTCAACATTGTTTAACAAATGTTTAAGATTATCTTTAGGACTTACTCTAAATAAAATTTAGGCAATTCATTATTTCTCTATTGAATAGATACATGTATATCAATACAGAAAAATTTGATAATATTTTTACTGTCATATAAACATTTTACAATTTAATCAAGTTTCTGACAAAAAAAAACAAAAAAACAAACATTATAATGCAAAGAAATAACAATTCTATAAGAAATCAAAACACATGGAAAAAAAATATTAGGTTTCTGCCCTCAGTTCCAATGACTTTTTTTATAAAGGAGCCAATATTTTAAACATGTTCCATGTTATAGAGGTTTAGCATTTCTTTTACTTTTTGTTCTTGGTTAAGATTTTATTCATAAGATTCAAGATTTTATTCATAAACTGGTCAGAGACATTATTATGAGAAGGTAAACAATTTTCAAATTGATTATCTCTAAGTTGTTATGTTTATTTTACAAACAATTCTATCCTTTATAGGAATTTTTATCCACCATCTTCTATTTCTAAATTATGACCACTAATTCTTTACTTATTGAAGCATTTGAGTTTACTGTTTTCATCATAAGTTTTTATTTTATTTTCAAAAATGTTTTTATTTTTTTTCTTAAATTTAATTTTTAATCAAGGGCTTTAAAGAATCTAATTCATTCAAATCCCTGCAATTATTAACTTTATCTAAAAGGCCTGAGTTGAGTGAAATATTTTTTGCAAATGTATACCAAGAATAAGTATCATGCATATGCCAGTCCTGCACTTTCCAACAATATAATACACAGAACAAAACATGATTTAATTAATGGACCATAAAAATGTCACAATCTATATGGAAGTGTACCTTATTTTTTTCTGGAGACAAATTTTGCCTGTTAACTGACAAAATTAGCCAAACTGAAGATAACATACTTGATAAGTTTACAATTGTTTCAACAGAGACATATATATGTGTATATATGTCTCTGGTTTCAAAAAGCAAGACAATTTTTTCTTTAAATACAATTTCTTTTCATAAGATTTACTTTATTCAGAGATAAGAACATTTTTCATTATGATTAGCATTTATCAAAATATTATAATAACTAGGTAGCCATTTGGGAAATTTAAGTCTCTTTAGTGGTTCTTCATGCACAACTCCAGTTTTGAGATTTGAAAAATATAAAAGATAAACAAAAATAGTTTATTCCTATACCATATAATGACATTTGTAGTTTTCCTGAATAATAATCATGATATTAGATTATACAACTTTGTTAACAAAATTTATTGTAAATGGATTGATATTCATGATATTGATAATTTTAATTTGTTAAGAAACAGGCTTGTTAAATTACTTGCTTGATGGTTCCTTTAAACATACCATTTTCATGATTATAAGTTATAATTACTAATAATTCATATTATAATGCAAACAAACAATAGAATTCCATGCACATCATGTACAATAACTTTTTTTTTCTGAAAAAAATAATTATTTAAAGGATTCTCTGTTTTGTTTTCAAATGCTAGTCAATAACTTATCTATGAATTTTTGTCATTTTTACTGAAGATTCTTTCCAAGAAGAAATTAAAAGAATAAGAAGCAAAAAAACAATTAAAAAAGAAAAAATAACATAAAAAAAGAAAAACATTTGAAAAAAAAGAAAAAATGTAAATTTAGACAGAAAAATCAACAAATGAAATGAATTAAGTTCAATTTGTTAATAGACTAAAGCAACATTCTATTCTACATTTTCAAGATAAGGTGAAATGTCAATTTGAGAGAAAACCTGAGATACCTGTACAGGTAAATTTTAATGAAACATACAAGCTGGAAACTTCAATGCTGATTGATTTCAACAGGTAACATAATTAGATAAAACATCAACCTATGTTTTATGACCCCAATAAATGGCCAACATCTCAAGATTGAATACCCCAATAAATGGCCACCATTCAATGGTGACCATACAAGAGGGTGGACATAACTAAGAGGAAGTCACAGGTTGTACTGTACTTCACAAGGTAAATAAAAGTATAAAAAATATTGAGGGATTAGATCCTTTAACAATTGAAATTTGAAAAGTAAATACATTATTTGGAAAACTTAAATTTAAAAAATGATTAAGTATTTTTTATACTTTAATGAATAAGATGTAGTTATCTGCCTTTCCAAATAATTACATCCACTATATTGTCACACAAGGAATTGTCTACAATACAAATATCAAATTCCTGAAGTTACAATGTAAATTTTACATTTTTTTAATAAACATTTGTAAGGGTTCCGCGGAACCCAGTGTCTCGCCTACTTTTGCTGTTAGTCGCAGGCTCAACAAAAATGGGAAAATAATTATTAAAAATTTTCCTCTAGATACTATCTTTTGAATGTAAGAAGCTTCTGTTCAAGTTTGGTAAGAATCCAGGATGGTTTATGAATCTAATGTTTTAAAAACTTTAACTGCAGACTGTATGTAATGTTAACTGGAAGAAAAACTAAGTCCATTTATAAGTAATATACGGAAAAACAGGAAATTTTTTTTTTACAAAATTTCCTTCTTGATACTAGATTTTGATCATAAACAAGCTTCTGTCCAAGTTTGGTACAAATCAAGAATAGTTTAAGAAAGTTATTAAAATTTTGAAAACTTTAACCACAGAGTGAATGTAATGTTAACTGGCAGAAAAACTAAGTCCATTTATAAGTAAAATATGAATGAACAGGATTTTTTTTTAACAAATTTACTTTTGAATACTATCTTATGATCATAAACAAGCTTCTGTCCAAGTATGGTACAAATCCAGGATAGTTTAAGAAAGTTATTAATATTTGAAAAACTTTAACCACAGAGTGAATGTAATGTTAACTGGCAGAAAAACTAAGTCCATTTATGAGTAAAATATGGAAAAACAGGATTTTTTTTGTTACAAAATTTACTTCTGGATACTATCTTATGATCATAAACAAGCTTCTGTCCAAGTATGGTACAAATCCAGGATAGTTTAACAGTGTTCCAGCTTGAATCTCAGGGCAGAAGGGTGCTAGTTGTCTGAAAGGGCATTTTAGCGTTATAACCCAGATTTTAAGGGCAATGTTGGACAGTGTATAAATTACCTTGAATATTGCTAGGCTCAGCTGGAGACCATTAGTTGTATTTAAACCATATTCAAAAATAATGTGTTCTTGATGTTGGTTCCAATAAGAATTTTTTTTTATCAAATTTGGTAAGGAAAATAGTCATCAGAAATTTCAATGTTTTATAACTTATACCAAAATAGACAAGCAGTTTTGAAAGATGGAGTTATACATGCAAAATTGAATGTTTAATGTAATTAAATTATCTACATTTAAATTACTTGTTCAAACATATAGTATATATGTTATTGAGAGTAATTTATTATCATTTGAATTGTTACAAAAAAGTATTTTTAAGTGCACACCAAAGTGCTCCTCAGTAAGGAGTTTTATAAATATAACAGGTTAGACAGGAGATGATCATATTATATTGATGCAATAATATATTGCAGAAGGTATAAACAGTTACTTTTTTCTCCATCATTGTTAAAAATAAGATTGTTGTGTGCTCTTATGTCAGGAAGATTATAAAATACAAGAAGTAAAACAGGAAGTGAATCTTGTTATGTTCAAAGTACAAATTTCTTTGATTCTTCTTTAAATTCATACTCATGGTTATGAAACAAAACATTTTTTTTTACCAATTAAGTTTAAACTATGTATGCCTTTAAAACTGTTTAAGATTTTATTTTTTATGTTATGCCTACTGAAATAAATTTTTCAGGTGTACATGCTGTACATAAACATTACAAATGGATAACATGTGGACATTTCATTCTGTATTAAATATCTAGTATTTGTTCAATTATCTTAAATCCACTAATTAGCAGTAAACAATCATTAACAAAGGTGATAAAACTGCCAAAGCATTAGGTATTTAACTTAATCCCATTGTCAGTTAATTAGTGTTACACAATCAGGTAACAATTTTACCGGAAACGCCGGTAGGCATGAAATTTGGAAATTTTATTTTTTTGAAAAGGCAGAGGGGTGCATTCTTTTGCTTTGGAGGGCAGAAGGGCGGGGGTAAGGGCACCAAGGGCGGGCCGCCCTTCTATTTAGGGCAGGCGGGAACACTGGTTTAAGAAAGTTATCAAAATTGGAAAAACTTAACCACAGAGTGAATGTAATGTTAACTGGCAGAAAAACTAAGTCCATTTATGAGTAAAATACGGATAAACAGGATTTTTTTTTTACAAAATTTACTTCTGGATACTATCTTATGATCATAAACAAGCTTCTGTCCAAGTTTGGTAGAAATCCAGGATAGTTTAAGAAAGTTATTAAAATTTGAAAAACCACAGAGTGAATATTTGTGGACGCCGACGACGATTAGCAATCATTTCATATAATTAACAATTGTTGGAATAATATGAGTTAATTACAATAATCTTTTGTTATTTGTGTAACATGTATCTTTTTGATTTTAATTAGGGCTTCTGAGTATCATGATTATTTTTAACTGGTTGTTGATTAATTTCACAATATTCCTCTTTAATCTTTTTGAGTTAATTTAACCCCCTTTAATCTTCAATATCTAATTTTGCTTAAAATTCATTTTTTTTTATTATACACCTTAAAGTATAGTCAACAATACAACTACAATACTGGGCTATCAGTAATGTACCAGTATTGCTGTTTTTTTTTCTAAAAAGTTACAATACTGGTACAAAATTTTTATACCAGTATTGTGCACAATACTAGTATACTGCAGTATTGCGATCACCAACTAGAGGAGATCCCTAAATTCCTTTTTCTTGAAATATCTATTGCTTCTCAGGTTCATTTCCAATTTTTTGGGGTTCTCGATAAAACGTTGTACCCCACTTATCAAACTGCAGTTAAATAAAGGTTTCACAAATTGCATGTTCAGATAATTATGAATGTATGAAAAAATGTTAAAACTCCTAACTACATTGTGTAGCTTAATTTTGTGTGAATCGTGGAAAGAAGAGACATAAACACTGATCTCTAGGGGGTAAAATATTTGACAGAATTTGATTTTGTTTATTTTAGTCAGTTAGTAAGTTGAGTTAGTTGGCAGCTGTTTAGAATGTGTCAACTGTTGCTGTTCAACTCCAATGATTCATACTTTTTTGTTTGTTTCAATATCTGTTATTTGATATACAATTCCGAACGATCCTTCTCCAAGCAACTTTTCTAATTTGATTTTATCTGATCTTTCCATTAGGTATATATGTTATATTGTTTTGCCCATGTGCAACTGTTTTTCTTTACTTGTTGTCCCTTTGAAATATAAACTTCCGGTTTAATGACAGGTGCTCGTTATCAGACGAACGTTTGACATCAACAGTAATTGCAAGTTCTAAAATTTTTGAAAGGAGATTTGATTTGACATTGAAAACATTTTTGTCCCATGATCGCAGAGATCTGTCAACTATTACATTTACAGTTTACAGTTTAATAAGTGTAAAATTAATGACAATGTATTGAATATTGATTATTGAAATGCATACAAACTGAACCTCAAGATGAAGAGTGAAACCTCTAAATTTACAACACACCATCTGGTTGTATTTTTACTGACATTTTTCAGGTAACATTAATTTATTTACTGTTTATTTACATGCTTAATTTTGTTCATTCTTATACATAACATGGGACTGTGCTGAGACTTGATAACATGTTAATTTCATCTGGAGACACAAAAAAAAAACCTGCTTCCGGTGATTATTTTTGAGTCACGATATACAATTTTCCAATTACTAATCTTTATCCTGACTTCTTAAACAGTCTCACTCATCATATTCATAAGTGTCAAGAAGCGACAAGAAGAAAAAAATTAGTGACAAGAAGAAAAAATTAGTGACAAGAAGACAAATTTAGCGACAAGAAAGTTTATATACTATTTAAAACAATAAATTTATAAAAAAGTCAATTAATTACAGTTGATTATTTGCTGTTTTATAAAGTTTCAAATTTTGCTATATTTAGTAGCACTATGTACGTCTTGCAATGATTTTTTGTAAAAATTATTTTATTACATTATTTTAAAGTATATATCAATCTGAACATTTTGTAACAATCCCATGTCCAATCTTACAATGTATATGGACCTTTTTAGTGAAATAAATAAAGATTAGATTATCTTATAATTTGGTTTGAACCTTTGATATATCAACCATGATGACTCTACATATAATTGATCCATTCATTTATACACTAAACTATAAACTCATTACTGTAAATATATCTATTTAAAAATATCCTTGATAACAAAAAAACTCTTTCTAGAACATATGAATAAATGTTTATTTTCCTCTCTCAGTATCATCATGAAATAATGAAAACTTGCGTATATTTAAAACAAAACCACACACACTTTAATGCATGTTTCTATGTCTATTTACTTTAAATAACCATTATTTCGATATTTCAACGCTAAATCTATTTTCTTGTCGCTAAATTATTCTTCTTGTCGCTAATTAGTGAGACCCTTCTTAAAACAAATATCTTTATTAGGGTCTCAAAACAAATATCTTTATATCACAATGTCCTATATGATACGTTTTTCCTCCAATGACCTCCAGTCACATAGGGAAGTTTATTTTTAAAATAGAAATTGGAAACTTGCCTATTTACTTGATGTCAAAATTGTTTTGCTAGCATAATTTAACAAATACCAGAGACCAATACAGGTAAATTATGTTGTCTGCAATCAAGCAAAAATCACCTGTATAGATCCTTTTATTTATGTCTTCAAGTTCCTTTTACTATTAAACAGTTTAAATGTTCGCACTGATGAACCTAAACAGATGTGAAAATAAATTATCAACTGATTGACCAAAACATGTCATGATGACCATCTAGAATAAATTGAAAATAATTGCCATAAAGTCAAATGAAGTATTAGTTTTATATTCTAATCTTTGAAATAATTAGAGATAATAGTAAACCTGTGGATGTTTAATTATAAATATTGGTGGTTTTCTGTGGGATCTCCAGCTTCCTCCACCATTAAAGACTCGCCGCTACAATCAAGCCGATAGTGCTGTTCTGGCGATAAATACCAACAATCAATCTTCAAGGTTAAAATGTGACACTTCCTGTTTCAATGTAAACAAACAATGATCTTCTGTTATGCTTGCTATTAAAGTTGGAAAGGCTTTTCCAATGGTTAATTATGAACAAGCTTAAGGAAATCGTTATTAAAAAAAAAATTGATATCGAATACATGCAATAGCATGAATTATCTTTTAAAGGCATGCACATAACAAAACGAGATGAATGTTTGAAAAAAAGAGGATACATTGAACACTGCACAAATATTTTGAAACTCAAAAAAATTTGATGCTGGTGACAACTGTATTTTAATTGAATCTATTTACATAAAATGAGACAGGATTTATTAATCTTTTTATGAAGTTATACCTTAATTGTTTATTCTCTTGATTTAAACAAGATTTTTAATAGTAAGAAGAATTGGAATCTCTTGGATAAGTTTGCATACACTGTGTGGAAATATGTTCAATGGGTTTTTAGAGTTTTTGCAATATTTTCCTTTAAACATATCACTTCATTGTTTGGCTTGCCTGTTAAATGGCTAAAGTTTATAGTTTCTTCAAGTGTGAATAGTGATGTTTGTCATGAATTAATCATTGTTAATACACCATATCCTTTTTTTTCAATTGGATCTTTTAATTTGACTAAAAACTCTACATCTGAATTAACAAGCAGTCACATGAGAAAATGAAAAATGTAGACTAGAAATCTCTTCTTAAATTGTATGATCTATTTTCAATGCTATTTTTTCCTAGTAGCTGTTCTCTGTTGCTTTGTTTACTAAATCTTATTGATTTATATTTTAAGTAGTAGCTGTACTCTTTTGCTTTGTTTACTAAATCTTATTGATTTATATTTTAAGTAGTAGCTGTACTCTGTTGCTTTGTCTAAATCTTATTGATTTATATTTTAAGTAGTAGCTGTACTCTGTTGCTTTGTTTACTAAATCTTATTGATTTATATTTTAAGTAGTAGCTGTACTCTGTTGCTTTGTTTACTAAATCTTATTGATTTATATTCCTTCCTAGTAGCTGTACTCTGTTGCTTTGTTTACTAAATCTTATTGATTTATATTTTAAGTAGTAGCTGTACTCTGTTGCTTTGTTTACTAAATCTTATTGATTTATATTTTAAGTAGTAGTAAGTAATAGTTTTAACATTTATATTTTGTTAGCTATGCCTTTTTTCATGCAACAAGAAAGACCTTCAGCAATGTCAAAACTACAATTTCAGCAGAGTGGACACCATCATTCCATAATTCTACTGTTAACAAGACTAAACCAGACAAGGTAATATATGTGTAAGACATAATATATCCAAGAGATTTTGAACGCATCTATTCATAAAAGTAATATAGAATTCCTTTTAATTTTTAAAACATACCTTATCAATATTTTCTTGCATCTGGTCTGTTTAATTTGAATTTTATAGAAATGTATAGCTTGGTTATATCCACAAACTGATTTGAAGAATGCTGCTGCATTACCAAAAGATCCAATAACAAGAAAACCAATCACTTCCTAGTTTTCAAGTAGTAAGTACTAAGAAGATCATTGTGTATTTATGTTAGACGACATTGAAGATATTGAATATTAACTGTACCTGTAACTAAATCAGTTTAAGAATTATTGGCTGAAACCAAAATTATTATAAATGTTTTCCACTTATATATCATTTAACAGATATGGAATTCTCACACAATGTTTGACAATCCAAAAGATGCTGAACCATTCCTTGGAATGTTAGATGGGGCCTTTCTAATTTCTTATGCTGTGGTATGCTTTAAGATTATATGATTTTTGTCAGAAATTTAATTGATCAAAATTAACTGATTTACATTCTTTGAACATAAATTTAAAATTAATTAAGTGCAAAAAGTTATAACATTGAAAACATGATAATGATGAATGATGATAAATGAAATCAACATTTTTATACGACCGCAAAAAAATTTTTGTGGTCGTATATTGGTATGACGTTGGCGTCGTCGTCGTCGTCGTCGTCGTCCGGCGTCGTCGTCGTCGTCCTGCGTCGTCGTCCGAATACACATTGGTTTTCGCACTCTAACTTTAGTTTAAGTGAATGGATCTTTTTGAAATTTTACCATAAGGTTAAATACCACAAAAGGAAGGTTGGGATTGATTTTGGGGGTTATGGTACCAACAGTTAAGGAATTAGGGGCCAAAAAGGGGCCAAAAATAAGCATTTTCTAGTTTCCAGACAATAACTGTGGAGCAGTGTATGGATCTCTCTGAAATTATACTACAAGTTTCCATACCACAAAGGGATGGTTAGGATTTGCTTTGGGGGGTTATGGCTCAAACCGTTTAGGAATTAGGGGCAAAAAAGGGGGAAAACAAGGTTGTCCTGGTTAATGGACAAATACTTTAGTACAAAACATAATTTAAAGCAGTGTAAGGGAGATAAATCAAATACATCATTGAAATTATCTCCCTTACACTGCTTTTAAATTATGTATAAAGTAATGGTTAATGAACAATAAAGATAATTTAAAACAGTGTAAGGGAGGTAATCAAAATACAACGTTTTGGTTACTTCCCTTACACTGCTTTTAAATTATGTTTAAAGAAATGCATATTTATAAAGGAAGACCAGTAAAAATATCTGCAAATGTTGCATCATTTTATTTTACAAAAAAATCTATGTGAAAGATTTGACACTATATTTTTAATTCTATTATAAAATAGATTAAGTTAGCACTATGGTAAAATTAAATGGGTAATTATGGTTGCCAACTCCATTGGAAATTTGAATTGAGATTATGACCATATCTTGAGGGAAAGAATTTTTTGGGGGAAAAAAGGGGGGGGGGATAAAAAGAAATTGTGGGGGGTCATTTTTTTCTCATTTCAGATTTCAGAAATTAAAAAGAATTATTCTTCAAATATTATTTTTTTTTCAAATTTCAAATATTGAAAAATTTCAAGAAGTAATCTTTAATTGCACAGTATGGCCCATTAGATTTGTAAAATCTTTGATCACATTTATTTATTTGTTATGCCGAATCTAACAGTGTATTTAGATTTTTAATTTTGGGTCCAGTTTTCAAAATAGTCTACATTAAGGTCCAAAGGGTCCAAAATTAAACTTTGTTTGATTTTAGCAAAAATTGAATATATGAGGTTCTTTGATATGCTGAATCTAAACATGTATTTAGATTTTTGATTTTTGGCCCAGTTTTCAAGTTGTTCCAAATTGGGGTCCAAAATTTAACTTTGTTTGATTTCAACAAAAATTTAATATATGGGGTTCTTTGATATGCTGAATCTAACCATGTATTTAGATTTTTTATTTGTGGACCCCGTTATCAAATTGGTTCATATTGAGGTCAAAAGGGTCCAAAATTAAACTTTGTTTGATTTCATCTAAAATTGAATTATTGGGGCTCTTTGATATTCCAAATCTAACCGTGTATTTAGATTTTTAATTTTGGGTCCTGTTTTTTAAATTGGTCTACATTAAGGTCCAAAGGGTCCAAAATTAAACTTAGTTTGATTTTAACAAAAATTGAATTCTTGGGGTTCTTTGATATGCTGAATCTAAACATGTGTTTAGATTTTTGATTATGGGCCCAGTTTTCAAGTTGGTCCAAGATAGGGTCCAGTATTTAAACTTTGTTTGATTTCAACAAAAATTGAATATATGGGGTTCTTTGATATGCTGAATCTAAACATGTATTTAGATTTTTGATTATGGGCCCAGTTTTCAAGTTGGTCCAAATTGGGGTCAAAAATTAAACTTTGTTTGATTTCAACAAAAATTGAATATATGAGGTTCTTTGATATGCTGAATCTAAACATGTATTTAGATTTTAGATTTTTGGCCCAGTTTTCAAGTTGGTCCAAATTGGGGTCCAAAATTAAACTTTGTTTGATTTCAACAAAAATTGAATATATTGGGTTCTTTGATATGCTGAATCTTATCATGTATTTAGATTTTTTATTTGTGGGCCCGCTATCAAATTGGTTCATATTGAGGTCAAAAGGGTCCAAAATTAAACTTTGTTTGATTTCATCAAAAATTGAATTATTGGGGTTCTTTGATATGCCAAATCTAACCGTGTATTTAGATTTTTAATTTTGGGTACTGTTTTTTAAATTGGTCTACATTAAGGTCCAAAGGGTCCAAAATTAAACTTAGTTTGATTTTAACAAAAATTGAATTTTTGGGGTTCTTTGATATGCTGAATCTAAACATGTGTTTAGATTTTTGATTATGGGACCAGTTTTCAAGTTGGTCCAAGTTGGGGTCCAAAATTAAACTTTGTTTGATTTCAACAAAAATTGAATATATGGGGTTCTTTGATATGCTGAATCTAAACATGTATTTAGATTTTAGATTTTTGGCCCAGTTTTCAAGTTGGTCCAAATTGGGGTCCAAAATTAAACTTTGTTTGATTTCAACAAAAATTGAATATATGGGGTTCTTTGATATGCTGAATCTTACCATGTATCTAGATTTTTTATTTGTGGGCCCGCTATCAAATTGGTTCATATTGAGGTCAAAAGGGTCCAAAATTAAACTTTGTTTGATTTCATCAAAAATTGAATATATGGGGTTCTTTGATATGCCAAATCTAACCGTGTTTTTAGATTTTTAATTTTGGGTCCCGTTTTTTAAATTTGTCTACATTAAGGTCCAAAATTAAACTTAGTTTGATTTTAACAAAAATTGAATTCTTGGGGTTCTTTGATATGCTGAATCTAACCATGTATTTTGATTTTGGACATTGGACTATAATAGGTAAATTAAAAAAATTCAAGTTCTTAGACCACATTCTTTCTGTGTCAGAAACCTATGCTGTGTCAAATATTTAATCACAATCCAAATTCAGAGCTGTATCAAGCTTGAATGTTGTGTCCATACTTGCCCCAACTGTTCAGGGTTCGACCTCTGCGGTCGTATCAAGCTGCGCCAAGCGAAGCATTTTATTATGTACTTATATTTTACTTTAATTTATAGTAGAATTACAATATCAAATAATATAACCTGATTAAATATGAAGCTAATCTTATTGGAATGAACAGTAATAATAAAAAAAAGCAATTTTATTTGTAGGGACTCTATATCAGCGGAATAATTGGTGACAGGTAAGAAACTAAGGGGAGATAATTTTAGGTTTTATAATGAGAGAAATGAGAGAGAATTATTCTCATTATTTAATTTAAATTGTAATAATAAACTTGCAGAATGCTCGTTTATTATTATATTGAAATTAAATAACTCTAGTTGATATCAAGCGATATCCAATTCTCACGAGTTGTTAAACCTATTTCTCTTATAGTCAACACTCTCATTGTGTGAAATTAAAAATTCTGTGAATCGTTGATCTAGTCTTTTGCACATACCAGTATGACATCATATGTCCTATTCCTGCGACAAACTTTGACATCAGACATATTAAAACTTTTTGTACGCTTCAGAATGCAATAACTTTTGATAAAAAGAAGATTTTCCTGTGAAAAGTGTGAGTGTGTTTTGTATATTATCAAAGAAATCACATATGTGTGTTGCCATGGAGGAAATGTACATTGTCTTAACCTTTGAAAGTTATTAATGACCTAATGAATAGCCAATGGAAATGTCGTAATATTGTCTCAGGATGCTGGATAAGCCAATCAAATTAACTCAGTTTTTATATCTCCGTGCAGTATGATATGAGAAATATCTCTTCATGCAAGAAATAGATAACAGGTCACAACCATAAGAGAAATCAAAATAAACTTTGTATTATGATAACACCCCTATAAAAAAGTAAGAAGATACCAAGGGAATTATCAGAATATTAAATTAAGAAGGAAAGATGAAATATTAACCTCTATATGTCTGTCAGTTTTTGTGTCATTGGGTTGCTCTCTTATTGATGTCTATCCCACATCAGTTATTTATAACCATTGCTAAAAAACATAATGTCAAAAAGACATAATTGTTGAAATGTTTTTACTTCCTCCTACTTTTCTACCACCAGGTGTTGATAGTAAGCATAGAACGGTATTTTATATTCAATGACCAAGATGACCATGCAATGTAACATACACTAAAAATACAACATAAGAGTGAAACCAAAAACTGAAAGTTTTGAATTTCTATTAGTTAGCCAGGTGGATCTAAATGATCCTTTGAAATGATCATATAGTGCTTAACTTAGTGTGTTGAATTATGCTAGTTCAATCCTGTTCACCAACCAAAAAGACAATGATATGAATTATTTAACTATTTAAATTAGTAATATTTTATAGGGTTATTGCATGAATATTAGTGAGTATTGTCCTGAGTAGATTCTTATAATGCACAAGCTTGCAAGTGCAATTATATTCTGTGAGGGATTATATTCACAAATATTCATGCATTAATCCTTCTTTTATATAGAAAAGCTTGAAAACGTGTTATACCATATACATGAAATATAAATGTCACTGATTATATCACTTATTTGAAGTATAGCTGTACTAGAACAATATGTTTTATTATTGCATTATAACTTTTTGTTACATTCTGTATTTATTAAATATGTTGTTGCTATTTTTATACGGCCGCAAAAAAATTTTTGTGGTCGTATATTGGTATGACGTTGGCGTCGTAGTCGTCGTCGTCCAGCGTCGTCCGAAGACAAATTGGTTTTCGCACTCTAACTTTAGTTTAAGTGAATGGATCTCTTTGAAATTTTACCACAAGGTTCAATACCACAAAAGGAAGGTTGGGATTGATTTTGGGGGTTATGGTACCAACAGTAAAGGAATAAGGGGCCCAAAAGGGGTCACAAATAAGCATTTTTGTAACTTCCAGACATAACTTGTGTGTTAGAGTATGGATCTCTCTGACATTGTACCACAAGGTTCCATATCTCAAAGGGAATGCTGGGATTGATTTTGGGGGTAATTGCCTCAAAATTTTAGGAATTAGGGGCCAAAAAAGTGCAAAAAACAAGCATTTTTCTAGTTTCATGACATTCACTTGTGTGTAAGTGTATGGATCTTTCTGAAATTGTACTACAAGGTTTCATATCACAAAGGGAAAGCTGGAATCGAGTTTGGGGGTAATTGCCGAAACGTTTAGGAATTGGGGGCCAAAAAGGGGCCAAAAATAAGCATTTTTCTAGTTTCCAGACAATAACTTGTGTTCAAGTGTATGGATCTCTCTGAAATTGTACTGCAAGGTACCATACCACAAAGGGAAGGCTGGGATTGATGATGGGGGTAATTGCCTCAATATTTTAGGAATTAGGGGCCAAAAAGGGGTAAAAAACAAGAATTTTTCTAGTTTCAGGACAATAACTTGTGTGAAAGTGTATGGATCTTTCTGAAATTGTACTACAAGGTTCCATATCACAAAGGGAAAGCTGGGTTTGAGTTTAGGGGTAATTGCCCTAAATGTTTAGGAATTTGGGGCCAAAAAGGGGCCAAAAAACACATCTTTCTAGTTTCCAGACAATAACTTATAAATGTTCAAGTGTATGGATCTCTCTGAAATTGTACTGCAAGGTACCATACCACAAAGGGAAGGCTGGGATTGAGTTTGGGGGTGATGAATCATAAGAAGGTTCAAAAAATTTGGGGGGGGGGATTTTTTTTTTTTTTCCTTTTTTTTCTTTTTTTCCTTTTTTTTTTCTTTTAAAATTTTCCATTTTAAGTTGGTTATTTCTGATTTATATTTAAAAGCAAATAATAATGATATGGTAGGAGATACACACCAAACAGGATGTGTAAATTATTATATAATAAGTATTGTGCAATAGCAAGAAATTTTCAATTGCACAGTATTGCACAATAGCAAGAAATCTTCAATTGCACAGTATTGCGCAATAGCAAGAAATCTTCAATTGCACAGTATTGCGCAATAGCAAGAAATACCCAATAGCACAATACTGCGCAATAGCAAGAAATTGTCAATTGTACAGTATTGTGCAATAGCAAGAAATATTTAATTGCACAGTATTGTGCAAAAGAAGATACTTCGTATAAATTGCTTATTTCTTGACCAATTTCAATGGGGTTTTATTCTTGAATTCTTGGGGTTCTTTAATATGCTGAATCTAACAGTGTATTTAGTTTTTGGATTTTGGGCCCCGTTTTTAAATTGGTCCACATTGAGGTCCAAAGGGTCCAAAATTAAACTTTGTTTGATTTCATCAAAAATTGAAATATTGGGGTTGTTTGATATGCCGAATCTAACCGTGTATTTAAATTCTTAATTTTTGGTTCTGTTTTCAAATTGGTCTACATTAAGGTCCAAAGGGTCCAAAATTAAACTTAGTTTGATTTTAACAAAAATTGAATTCTTAGGGTTCTTTGATATGCTGAATCTAAACATGTATTTAGATTTTTGATTATGGGCCCAGTTTTCAAGTTGGTCCAAATCGGGGTCCAAAATTAAACTTTGTTTGATTTAAAAAAAATTGAATATATGGGGTTCTTTGATATGCTGAATCTAACCATGTATTTAGATTTTTGATTTTTGGACCCCGTTATCAACTTTGTCCACATTGAGGTCAAAAGGGTCCAAAATTAAACTTTGTTTGATTTCATCAAAAATTGAATTCTTGGGGTTCTTTGATATGCTGAATCTAACCATGTATTTAAATTTTGGATATTGGACCATAATAGGTGAATGTCCAATTTAAAATTTTTAAGTTCTTAGACCACATTCATTCTGTGTCAGAAACCTATGCTGTGTCAAATATTTAATCACAATCCAAATGCAAAACTGTATCAAGCTTGAATGTTGTGTCCATACTTGCCCCAACTGTTCAGGGTTCGACCTCTGCGGTCGTAAAAAGCTGCGCCCTGCTGAGCATTTTATTTTATAATATTGAAATATATGAATACAATATATATATTTTTGATTCAAACTGCTACATGTATATGTCTGCAGGTTGCTCTTGTTATATATAACAGTAGAGGTTCTTAGTTAATGTGCTGGTTTAGATATTTTATGACTTAAGAGCTCCCTTGGTGTTGGGCTAAAAAATGTTTTGTGTTCATTTGAAATGACAAATTTTGTTAGAGATGAAGCTGAATTAGGTTTTAAGTCTGTATTTAAAATTTTCACAGCAAAAAACATTAAGAATGTAAAATAGAACAATTGCAAGAAAATTCAACACATGAAGGGTATATGCTGCAAGAAAATCAGTGAACATGAGATTTCATAACTAAAGATTAAATTAATATAGGCTTATATGTTCAGTTTGATGATTAATTTTCATTTCAGATTGAATATGAGATTAGTTCTGTCTTTTGGGATGGTTTCATCAGGATTGAGTGTAAGATATATAATTATTTCGTTATGTTTTAAAATGTTAACAAATCAAGCTAAATGGACCCCTCATGGCCTATTAACATCATGGTACAGTAATGTGATGTCATTTTGCTTGAATGTGATGCTGTCTGAAAAGATTTCATAAAAGATTTTGTTTATTTAGAGGAAGAATTTTTGTCACACTAACCTTGAAGTCTTTATATACAGGTGGTCACAAAGAAATTTCTGACTGTATTTGGATATCATACTTCTTAAAATAAATTGTTTTTTTACAATTAAAGTATATATATTAGACAAATAATCAATTCTATGTAAGTAAGAAATAAACATGTAAACAAGACTTTGACATTGTACAAATTGAGGAAATTGGATGCACACTCATCTGCTAAGTGTTATGGCCAGAAATTACCTTTAAATTGTAGCCAACAAAAGACAAAAATCAATAATAAATTCAACAAGTATGTTCATGTGTGTTATTGTTTCTGGGCTTTTATATTTGGGACTGTCTTTGGATTGCTTACTGCACCAAGCATGATATGTATGTTAATGTCTATGAGTTTTGATTTTTCTAGGTATTTATATTTGGGACTTTGTTTGAGTGGATTGGTTACTACAATAAATATGTATATGTGATAGTGTGGATATTGAATGGACTCCTTCAGTCAACGGGATGGCCTACTGTTGTAGCTGTCATGGGTAACTGGTTTGGTAGATCAAGGTAAAATATAATGAGATTTGTAATTAGACAAAGTAAAAATATAATAACCTTACTTGTACACACATATTAAAGTTGTGCACCTGATGTTATAGAATTGTTTGAGGAATTTCGTCCCATTTTTCTTCAAAATTTCCAAAAAGACTAAACAATTTGGTGTTATCAACTTTTCTTATAGTTTTCAACCCAGATCCATTGAACTTTAGAAAAAGTTAGCCCACATTGAAGTTGAACTCATTCCATTGTGGAGTTGTTTAAAGATTTTTTTCCTATTTTTGTCTCGCCAGCATTGATAGTCCAATGTGAGACATATGGATTCTTATCCTTCAGTTTATTGTCTCCATAAATTTTGTTCAATGTTTTTGTTATAAACTTAATAAAAAGTCTACCTGTATCACTAGAGGGTGTATTTTAGATACCAGCAATATACAATTCTACCTGAAGATTTTCTCCAGAATCTGATATAAATCTTAAACCAGATATTTAAATCTTTCAGTCTGACATGAATCGGAACAATATTGCGTTTTTTTGTATTTTTAGTCGTGGTTTGGTGCTAGGGTTATGGAGTGCCTGTGCTTCTGTTGGGAATATCATCGGAGCACTTCTAGCTTCAGCAGTCCTAGATTATGGATATGATGTAAGTTAATGTGCTACAGTTAGTTCATTTGGTTTAAATTCTTTTCTTAGAACAATACTTCTTCCAATTTCATCACCAATACATTTTGCAATAATATTTGTGTCAGAAAATTTAAATTTAAGGAAATTTAGATTTGACAGAATAAAAAATTTGTTTAAAAAATCAATTATAATGCCCAATTAAAGAAAAGTTAAAAGAATGAAAGTATTTTTATTTTATATTTCAGTATGCCTTCTTATTATCATCAACAGTTCTTATGGCTGGAGGAATAGCCATATTCTTTGGTTTGGTCAGTACGCCAAAAGAACTAGGTATGATATAACAGTATATATTTTGGGAATTTAAGTAAGTTGACATAGTTTTTAGTGGTCTAAAACTTTTGCAAAGTTTACATTAAAGGTTTTTTATTAGGTCAGTTCAAGGGGACCCTCTTTTTGTTATTAGTAAATGATATTTGGTTTGCTGTTGTATTAGCATAAGCTATTTTCATTTTAATTTAGATTATTTTGCCCCTACCCCTCAGTCACAGGTCTTTTGACTAAAGGTTTTGATTAGTTTACATGTTAAAGTTTTGCCATTTCAGTTTCAAGATTTGCATTATGCCATCAAAATTATATACATGTACAGACGTGACATATCTTTGTGTCAACAGTTTATTTATTTCAAAGGGCCGATTTGGTGACCGAATCATACCTATGGTGAAGAAACTTGCAGCAACAAGTAAACAAAGTGTTTTTTTTTTAATTCTGTAAAGGTTTACCCGTTCCTGATGAGATGATCACAAACCAAGAAGTTACCGTTGATGTTAATTCTGCCATTAATTCAGGTTAGTAGACAACTGTATGGTACTTGTTGATAAGGTCATGGTAATTACATTTATACAGGTAAGAGATAGTTAAGAAGCCTTCACACATTTTGATGCTCAGCTATCTAATAATTTTTGTCCCATGATAAGAATGACTACCATTATTATATTTTCTGTGTTAAATCTAGCGCGATTTGCAAAAATAAATACTCAAGGGTATTAAACTTAGTTAGATATTACTTTTAAATTGGAAAGGCTCTTTGCACTATAATAAATCTGTATTTTTCTTAATTTCAATTCAGTTTTTATTTAAATTGTGTTTTCTATTTATAGAAAATATAGAATCTTTAGAAAGTGATAGTGATGATAGTGAAAGTGAACGGCTGCTCAGCAATTCCTCAGGTCAAGATAAAGATGTTGTTACCAGACCTAAAGCTCTTGGCTTTATTCAAGCTTTGTTATTACCTGGAGTTATATTGGTAAGTTATAAGTATGTTTATCACACATGTATTGTACTGCTAAATCTGATATCTGGTATTTTAAACAGTAGTTTTTCGTTGTAGCATAGGGGAGAATTAACCTGAGACCTGCTGTCTGTGAAGAGCTCTTGCCAAATTTCTTTCTGAATGGGTTTTTGAAAAAGGTGTAATTCAAATTGATGTCTTTAATGGTTGCAAATGACAAACAATTAATAAATGCTAAATTTATCAAAACATATTTTAACATATTTTTATGGAAAAGTTAAAGAGTGAATACCTTTATGGCATACTGGAACAGACTGGCTTTTGGGAATCTGCTCAAATTATTTCATTAATGCAATTCAAAAAGGGACTCTTTGCATATTTTTATACCTTAAATTGCAGATTTGATTTTGATTTTTGGTGTTTTAACGCCACTTTTAAGCACCGTTTTTGGGCTATTTCGTGGCGGCCAGTTTTTATTTGTGGAGGAAGCCGGAGTGCCAGGAGAAAACCACGACCTTCGATAGGAAAACTGACAATCCTAGTCAATTAAGATTGGAGTCGAGTGCACCTGCACAAGCGGGGTTCGAACTCACAACCTCACTGTTGACTGGCTAGTGATTACAGTAGTAACTACTTAGACCACTCGGCCACCGAGGCCCCTTAAATTGCAGAAGTTCATACTGTATTTGAAATGAGAGAGAAAAATTAAAAGTGAATATTATTTATAGATAATGGGTGAGTCATACATGCTCCTTTGAGCTTAAGTTTCTTTTTATTTTCAGTATGCCTTATCATATGCCTGTTTGAAGTTTGTGAATTATTCCTTCTTCTTTTGGCTACCATTTTATTTACATGGAGCCTTTGGTTGGAAGGAGACGGTGGCAGATGACATATCTATATGGTATGATGTTGGTGGAATTATAGGTATGTATTAGACCTGATTGGTACCATATTGGTCTTCCTTTACATTTTTTCATCACAAGATCTTTTCCATAAAAAAACATAATATTTTTGTAATCTATATGATTGGCTGTCACATATATTTTGTTCAGAAATGAATTTTTAAAAGTTTAAATGTCTAATCATACTTCATTCAAATGACCAAGGACAAGTTATATTTTAAAATACCATTTTTGTCTCGCCTTGACGGAGTCAAAAAGCAAGACATAGTTATGCTGTTTCCGGCGTCGGCGGCGGTGCCGACGGCGGCGTCAACAATGTGTTAGTTTGTGATTAGGTCTTGTTCATGGTGAACTACTAGTGGTAGGTCAATGATATTTGGTGTGCAGTTGTATTAGCATTGGCACATCTCATTACCATGGAGATTATTTGGCCCGCCCCCTCAGTCAAGGTCTATTGACTTTGAAACTTTGCTTAGTTTACATGTATTAGTTTGTGATTAGGTCAGTTTATGGGGAACCACTAGTGGTAGGTCAATGATATTTGGTATGCAGTTGTATTAACATTGGCACATCTCATTACCATGGAGATTATTTAGCCCTGCCCCCTCAGTCAAGGTCTATTGACTTTGGAACTTTGCTTAGTTTACATGTATTAGTTTGTGATTAGGTCAGTTTATGGGGAACCACTAGTGGTAGGTCAATGATATTTGGTACACAGTTGTATAAGCATTGGCATATCTCATTTCCATGGAGATTATTTGGCCCCGCCCCCTCATTCATGGTCTATTGACTTTGAAACTTTTGCTTAGTTTTCATGTATTAGCTTGTGATTAGGTCAGTTTAAGGGTAACTGTTAGTGGTAGGTCAATGATAATTGGTATGCAGTTGTATAAGCATTAGCACATCTCGTTTCTATGGAGATTATTTGGTCCTTACCCCTCAGTCATGGTCTATTGACTTTGAAACTTTTGCTTAGTTTACATGTATTGGTTTGTGATTAGGTCAGTTCAAGATGAACCACTAATGTTAACTCAATGATATTCGGTATGCAAATGTATTGGCATTTGCAAGTTTCATTTCCATGGAGATTATATAACCCCACCCCCTAATTATGGTTTATTGACTTTGAAACTTTTACATAGTTTACAAGTTAATGTATGTGTTTAGGTTTGTTTAAAGGGAACGACTTATGAAAAGTCAATGGTATTTGGTTTGCAGTTGTATTAGCATTGGCACATCTCATTTCCATGAAGATTGTTTAGCCCTGTACCTTCAGTCATGGTTCATTGACTTTGAATATTTGCATAACTTACATGTTAAAGTATTGCTATTTTAATTTCAACATTTGCATTATCAAAATAACAAATAGGCGAGACATATCTCTGTGTTAACAGTTTATTTTAATAAATGAATTAAAAATGTGATTTTTGATGATCATGTATAAAGAAATGAAAATTGGATATAAGTTAAAAAAAACAGCAACTTAATTTTACAAAAACCCACTGAAGACAAGCAGTCAACAACAGCAATATGTATGCATGAAATATTTGCCACTGGATGTTAAGCAAATAACAATAAAACAATCCAAACTTCATCTCCAGATCTATATTGCCTCATATCTAGGCAAGCTGATGATGTTCCTGGCTCTGGACAGTTTGATGATATGGCAGGTTAAACTTAGTTCTTATCCTACCCTTTTTAATCTTGATCAGTGGAGTAACAAAAGCTACATAGAATATAAGAATGTATACTAGAATTACCTCAACTTTGTTTGTCCTAATTAGGAATTATCAACAGAAAATGTTCATTGCAATTTTTTGCAATTCCTGATAATGGCAGGCTGTATATCTATGTATATTTTTTGTTATCGTAGGTGGCACAATAGCGGGTTTTATATCGGATAGATTTAGAAAAAGATCCATAATAGTAATACCAATGTTAGTTTTAGCAATACCAGCATTATTTATCTATAGTCGTAAGTATATTTTTAAAGTTATTGTTTCAAATTATTAAAACTTATCTTACGAGATTTTAGAGAGACTACACATAGTTGTCACTTTTTTGGGAAAAAATGAATCATTACATTTGTAAATATGTTGACTGAATGGAGTACATGTTATAAATTTGTATTATTTACATGCATTATCAAAATGTGTAGCTCTAGTAGTCTACATCAGGTAGACATCAGTCTTTTCTTTTCCAACTTAAAGTTTTCTTTTGAATCAACAATAGACCATACATTGAAATTAAAAAAAAGGAAAAAGTATAATTTGTAGTAAAGTAAAATGTTTAAAACAGTGATAGGTTTACATGTAGCAAAGTCTAAGAATATGACCGAACTTGCACTTTATTTCTGCCAAGATGCACTTACTCACGTGATACAGTTTCAAATAACTTGACCTATTGCAAGTACCGGTAGTTAAAATGTCTACGTTTTTATGCAGTACATCAAGTTAATAGGAAAGAAAAAAGTCAAAAATGCATACTGAAGCGATGATCTGTAATTCTATTACATTGTGTATTGTGTTGGGAAACCATCACAAATCAACTTTTGATACCAATACTTCCATATTGCAGTTTGACTATTGCATTTCAATATTGCCATTCCATCTCAAAGAGGATAGACAACTCACAAATGTTTGTATATTTTTGTTTACAGATTCACCAAATAACAAAACAATAAATGCTGTATTAATGACAGTAGCAGGGTTCTTTGTTGGAGGAGTGGCAAATCTCATTAGTGCTGCTATTTCTGCTGATTTAGGTAACTATATCAGTCTTGCTTAAATGGTTGAATATTTGTTTGTTGTTTGTCTTGATGTCCAGTGCGGTTGAATTAAAGTCTATTAAAAAAATTGTAAATAAAATGAAATACTATAATACATTGAGCTCTTTATGTACATGTACATAGAAAATGACTGTTCTATTGATCCTGAAACAATGAATCATGGCTGGTTTTTTTAATGTTCAGTTCTGTTTATGTGCATGATGTTCATTTTGTTCAGCTGTACTGTAATATTTATATGTTACACACAGGTCGTCAAGGCCCTGTACAAGGTAATGCTGAAGCCTTAGCAACAGTAACAGGTATAGTTGATGGAACAGGTAGTGCTGGTGCTGCCATTGGCCAGGTAACTTTAACAACTATTATTTAAATTAAGAATCTGATTATTACAAGTGAACGAAATATGATTTCATGCAAGTGACTTGAGAGTGATAGAAGGATTTTGAAAGAATAGAACTGTAACTTATGATAAAAAAAGGCAAAGAAGCAACACATATTTCTGATGATAACCATGCTGTTCAAAGGTATTTGATACCAAAATTACAGAATATTTTAGAATTATCTGTGAAACTGTGTAAAATTAAACATACATGTAAATGCATTACCCGGTGTGTCTTACATTGAATACTCACAAAGTAAAAATGTTTTAATAGCTTATTATGTTCAGATTTTCAAAGATCTGTTAGTTCTTCCTCCTTATGAAAAGAAAAATATGAACTGTGAATGAAAAGCTATTTCTCTTCTCGATTCTCATGTTTCCATTTTATGATAATATTGTTCTTAATTTTGTAATTATTCGTATTTAGTTTTAAAACATTAATCTGTTCAGGTCAATTGACATTCAATAGCATGCTAAACTTGAAGTTATGATTTAGAAAGGAGATAATTTTGGTCCTTTATTGCTCCCATTTGCTCTGTCTGTCAATAACATTGTCCAGCATTATGGATATCTCTTCTTAATGCAAAAGTAAACATTATTGATTAGATCAAATTCATGATAGATAAATGATATTTAACAAAGGTGAATTTCTGTGTAAACATGGAAAGTTTTCCACTCAGATGGGTGGCAAATCTGCACAACTGTTATCTGTTACCAAAATGTTTAAAAGAAATTTATAAAATATGATTTAGGCACACATTTTTGTAATTGAATGGAAGATGTAAATTAGTTGAATATGATATGGGAATCGTAAGGAGAGTAGTATATCAGTATATCGAGCAGGTAGTTTTGAAGTATTTTATCTGAAAAGAAATCTTAACTGGAAATTTCAGTTGTTTTAAAATATAATACATATAACACTGTAGCATTCTAATTATAACACCAACTTAAACTGTGATTTTCATGTTAGGTACTGGTACCTGTTATTCAGGAGAAGTTTGGTTGGAAATCAGTTTTTGTTGTATTTATGATAATGGTAAGTTCCTGAACAATATTGATGGTAACCTTCTATGTGGTTAGAATGACTTGTCACTCTTCGTCTTAAAACTTGCATTTCTTATTGTTACATGTACGTCAAAGTAAAAAAAATGTATATTTTCAATAATATTTTGTAAATGGATCCCTTATTTTGATAGGCAAATGTTTATTAATATTCTTCTTGTAATCGGTCAATCATTTAGGATTTTATCTTGAGCTATTTGAACAATTGCTAGGTACTGAAATCAATATATATATTCAATCACAACTAAACATCATCTTGACATTTATTCCCTTTCCAAGTTAAGCAATTGGAAAATTCATTTCATTTCATTTAACTTAATGCAAAAAGAGCCCATGATTTCCCAGTCAGCGTAAACAGAAAAACAGATATTTCGCATGTGAAAAAACAGTGTATTTTCACTCATCATACAATAACAGGTATCATCAAGATAAAGTCAACAAAGATCCATCAACATGAAGTGAGAACCTATAGAAATATACTGCTCCTTGCATATTCTGCTTTATTTACATTAAAATAAAATAAAGAAAAAAGAATGACTAACAAAAGAATTCAAATATTCAAAGTATTCAAGGAGTGACCAAAAAACACATTCACGAATATGTTTAGCGCACAAGTAAATTTTAAGTGTTGTTAAACCACAAGTTAGATTTTTTCAACATTTAAATTATTCAATAAATTATTCCCATAAATCTTATTGAATGATTTTTTTCTTCTTTTACAGATAGCATTGACAATAGCCTGTATATTTCCTATGTTTATCAAAGAATGTAAGGGTGCCATCGCTAATTATACCTTCTCATGGTATAGTGGTTTAACCAAAAAAAGAACAGTCATCGTAGAGGATGAGTTTGATGAAACTTAACCTATCTTACAATTAAGGGGGTTGACCTAGGTTAAAACAACTCGGGCACATTTGTATTAACCATTTCATAAATACATTCCAAGCTTCTAAATAAAACAGATTTTTTATATTCTGTTTAACGTGGATGATGTACCTGACTTTTACACATTCATTACTCATTTAAAGAGTTATCTTCCGTAATCTGGTTAAGCTCCCTTGAATGAACTGTCATTCCAAATAATGCAGGGTGCTAGTCATTTTATTCTTACTGTTGATATTATATATACATAAATGTTTGATTGAATGTCAATGTGTATTGTTGTTTGACATTGCATAATAATCGTATTGCTAATACTGTGATATTGATCAGATTTGAAGTAAGGAGATTTTCTTATTACATTTCATTGTTAGGTTGCTGTCTTATTTACATTTTTATCATATTTCATATTCCTGCTGAACATCAAAAGTCATCACTACAAGAGTGTTGTATAAGATGTATGCTGTGTGTATGAAATGCAACTAAAAGTAGTTCAATAGTTTTTATACGACCGCAAAAATTAAAAAAATTTTGGTCGTATATTGGTATGACGTTGGCATCGTCGTCGTCCGAAGACACATTGGTTTTCGCACTCTAACTTTAGTTTAAGTGAATGGATCTCTATGAAATTTTACCATAAGGTTCAATACCACAAAAGGAAGATTGGGATTAATTTTGGGGGTTATGGTACCAACAGTTAAGGAATTAGAGCCCAAAAAGGGGCCAAAAATAAGCATTTTTGTAACTTCCAGACATAACTTGTGTTGTAGTGTATGGATCTCTCTGACATTGTACCACAAGGTTCCATATCACAAAGGGAATGCTGGGATTGATTTTTGGGGAAATTGCCTCAAAATTTTAGGAATTAGGGGCCAAAAAAGGGGCAAAAAACAAGCATTTTTCTAGTTTCATGATAATAACTTGTGTGGAAGTGTATGGATCTTTATGAAATTGTACTACAAGGTTCCATATCACAAAGGGAAAGCTGGAATTGAGTTTGGGGGTAATTGCCCAAAACGTTTAGGAATAAGGGGCCAAAAAGGGGCCAAAAATAAGCATTTTTCTAGTTTCCAGACAATAACTTGTGTTCAAGTGTATGGATCTCTCTGAAATTGTACTGCAAGGTACCATACCACAAAGGGAAGGCTGGGATTGATTTTGGGGGTAATTGCCTCAAAATTTTAGGAATCAGGGGGCAAAAAACAAGCAATTTTCTAGTTTCAGGACAATAACTTGTGTGTAGGTGTATGGATCTTTATGAAATTGTACTACAAGGTTCCATATCACAAAGGGAAAGCTGGGTTTGAGTTTGGGGGTAATTGCCCTAAACGTTTAGGAATTTGGGGCCAAAAAGGGGCCTAAAAACAAGCATTTTCTAGTTTCCAGACAATAACTTGTGTTCAAGTGTAAGGATCTCTCTGAAATTGTACCGCAAGGTACCATACCACAAAGGGAGGGCTGGGATTGATTTTGGGGGTAATTGCCTCAAAATTTTAGGAATTAGGGGCAAAAAAGAGGCAAAAAACAAGCATTTTTCTAGTTTCATCACAATAACTTGTGTATAAGTGTATGGATCTTTATGAAATTGTACTACAAGGTTTCATATCACAAAGGGAAGCTGGAATTGAATTTGGGGGTAATTGCCTCAAAATTCTAGGAATAAGGGGCCAAAAATAAGCATTTTTCTAGTTTCCAGACAATAACTTGTGTTCAAGAGTATGGATCTCTCTGAAATTGTACTGCAAGGCACCATACCACAAAGGGAAGGCTGGGATTGATTTTGGGGGTAATTCCCTCAAAATTTTAGGAATTAGGGGCCATAAAGGGGCAAAAAAACAAGCATTTTTCTAGTTTCCGGACAATAACTTGTGTGTAAGTTTATGGATCTTTATGAAATTGTACTGCAAGGTTCCATATCACAAAGGGAAAGCTGGGTTTGAGTTTGGGGGTAATTGCCCTAAACGTTTAGGAATTTGGGGCCAAAAAGGGGCCTAAAAACAAGCATTTTTCTAGTTTCCAGACAATAACTTGTGTTCAGGTGTATGGATCTCTCTGAAATTGTACTGCAAGGTACCATACCACAAAGGGAAGGCTGGGATTAAGTTTGGGGATGATGAATCATAAGGGGGTTCAAAAAATTTGGGGGGGATTTTTTTTCCTTTTTTTTCTTTAAAATTTTCCATTTTAAATTGGTTGTTTCTGATTTATATATAAAAGCAAATAATAATGATATGGTTTGAATAGGTAAATTAAAAATTTTTAAGTTCTTAGACCACATTCATTCTGTGTCAGAAACCTATGCTGTGTCAAATATTTAATTACAATCCAAATTCAGTGCTGTATCAAGCTTGAATGTTGAGTCCATACTTGCCCCAACTGTTCAGGGTTCGACCTCTGTGGTCGTAACAAGCTGCGCCCCAGCAGAGCATTTTATTGTTTAAGCGAAAGGATCATCAAGCAGTACTTTTATACACTAGGGACTTGTAAAAGGATGATGGAATTTGAGATTCCGGGGGGAAATGCCAGTCTTATAGTTTATGTTTTGATTTTACAACATTTTCTATGAATTAAATGATGATTAATAACAACTAAAAAACTATGAACGGCTTTTGTGTTGCCTGCTAAGAAGGCTCATCTGATCTTGACCTCGTATTCATGGTTCATTAGTCAATGTTAAGTTTTCATGGTTATGTCTATTTCTCAGATACTATAAGCAATATGCTAACTATATTTGGTGTATGGTACAATTGTAAGGTGTACATATCTGTTTGGCTGGATGCATTGTTCTGACCTTGTCCATATTTACATTATTATTTATAATGCTATTTGAACTATGACATGGTCGTTGAGTGTATGATAGAAAATCAGTATTTTTACATGGGTAAAATAAAGTTAGCTTAGATCATGAAAACATTTCTTTTTGTTGTATTATTATTTTTATGGAACTGCCAATTATATATTGTACATATATAAACAGGGATCACTACAGATAAATTGTTTGATTATTTTGTAATTCCTTGTTTGTTATATTTCAATGTATTTCATGAGGGCTTCAGGAAAGATTAGTTTTATAGCTAACTGTGTAACCCTCTTTAAATAAAGAATTATTATTATTATCATTATTATTATTAAATTGTTGTAAATATTTTGCAATACTTATAATTTTATATATATACATATATAAACAGAATTATAGTCAATTAAAATTAAAATGATTAAGAATTATTTTTCCTACTTTTCTCACCTACATTGTATATCTGTAATCTAATCATTTGTAATGGTGCTGTAAAAATCAAGAGTAATGCCGGAACTTCCCAGGGTGTTTCCAAAAATTCACTGGTGGAGATACACCTTTCTTTATTAGCCTGTGGTGATCCCTGATAAATGATGACTATACACAATTCTTTATTAGCCTGTGGTGATCCCTGATAAATGATGACTATACACAATTCTTTATTAGCCTGTGGTGATCCCTGATAAATGATGACTATACACAATTCTTTATTAGCCTGTGGTGATCCCTGATAAATGATGACCATATATTTGGTTGTATATGTTTACCAATTTACCAATTTGTATTTTATATCAGTCAGTTTGTCATTGAAGTGTGAGAATTGTCCTGGTTTTGTAACTGAAGTAACTTTATATAAATGTGTGTACAAATTACTTTGAAAAAGATACTTTGTTATGATTGTTTATATTCTATTTTTATTACTTTACGGGAAATAAACATGCAATTATTTTGATTGTGTTACTTTTATTGGAAGGATTAATTGTCAATGAATAGAGGATACAGCTGGAATGCTGGATGATACATTCAAATTGTTATATTTTTGTTTTAAAGGAATATTTCTTCACGGGAATCTTCTAGGCATATTTGGTTTCAACTGGTGTAACAGTTCTAAGAAGATTTTCAATTTTTTCAGAGGGTGTATTCACTTGCCAATTTGCACCATACATTCATAACAGAAACCTTTCTGTTATATATTTGGTTCTGAATGGTTTAAAAAATTAATAAATATCATCCGACGGGGTTGTATTTAAAAGCACCTTGTTTTCAGTTATTTCATTACTTGACTATACAAGTACCTGTAGTTGCTTTGTCGTAACCTTAAAAGGATTACGTTTTTTGTTGTTGCAGAGTGCCAGACATTGGGATGCTTTCAAATATTTCAGAAGACAGATGTTTCAGTGACGGCTTAAGACTAGAGTGCACACGCTGAAATGTCTCGCCTACTATACTGACCATTGATTTTATGCTGATAGTCCTAAATATAAAAGTTTTACTATAAGTATCACATGAACATTTATGATCTAACAAAATCAAGGTCAGATAAACCAAGCCAGCAATACATGTACACCTTTAATACAATCATTCCATACACTCAATATAGATGACCTATTGCTTATAGTATAAAAGAAACCGACCAAACCATGGAAATTTTATATTGACCAATGAACCATGAAAATGAAGTGAAGGTCAGATGAACCCTGCCAGACAGACATATACACCTTTAAATCATTCCATGCATCAAATATGGTTGACCTATTGCTTAAGTTTAAGAAAAACAGACCAAAACACAAAAACTTAACATTGAGCATTGAACCATGAAAATGAGGTGAAGGTCAGATGATACCTGCCAGACAGACATAAACACATTACAATCATTCCATACACCAAATAAAGTTGACCTATTGCTTAAAGTTTAAGAAAAACAGACCAAATCACAAAACTTAACATTGAGCAATGAACCATGAAAATGAGGTCAAGGTCAAATAAAACCTGCCAGACTGACATGTACATCGCAAAATATTTCCATACAAAAATATAGTTGACCCAATGCATAGTGTATAAGAAAAACAGATCAAAACAAAAAACCTGCCAGTTGGACATGTACACCTTACAATCATTATATACACCAAATATAGTAGACCTATTGCTTATAGTATCTGAGATATGGACTTTACCACGAAAACTTAACCTTGTTCACTGATCCATGAAATGAGGATGAGGTCAAGTGAAACCTGTCTAACAGGCATGAGGACCTTGCAAGGTATGCACATATCAAATATAGTTATCCTATTACTCATAATAAGAGAGAAAATAACATTACAAAAAATCTTAACTTTTTTTTCAAGTAGTCACTGAACCATGAAAATGAGGTCAAGGACAATGGACATATGACAGACGAAAACTTCATATCATAAGGCATCTATATACAAAGTATGAAGCATCCAGGTATTCTACCTTCAGAAATATTTAGCTTTTAAGAAATTAGTTAATGCCGCCGCCCGATCACTATTCCTATGTCGAGCTTTCTGCGACAGAAGTCGCAGGCTAGACAAAAACTGATAAGTTGTTTTGCCTCATGCTCTTTTCAATTATTATTAGAAATAGGATAATTATATTAAGTAACAGTATTTTGAATCAGCATAAGGTGCACATGTCTATCTGACAGGGTTCAACTGACCTTGACCTCGTCATAATTCAGTAGTAAATGTTATTTTTTCGTGATTAGGTCTGTAACCGAGATACTTTAGCAAGATATTTATTTGGCATATAAAATGTTTGTAAGGTGTACACACCTGCCTGATTTCTAAAATCATGAGAAAAAATTGTCCCCACCCCCATTTTTTTTCCATAATAACCCATTTAAATACATCATAAAAGTCTAAAAACAGAAAATGACATACATAATCATTGCTAAAATTAATATACCTTAATCAGCATTTTTAAAATTATTAAATAAAATGCTTCGCTGAGCGCAGCCCGATACGACCGCAGAGGTCGAACCCTGAACAGTTGGCAAATTTGGACACAATATTCAAACTTGATACTGTCTGAATTTGGATTGTGATCAAATTTTTGACATAATATAGGTTTCTGACACAAAATAAATGTGGTCAAAGATGTTATAAATCCATTGCACAATACTGTGCAATTGAAGATTTCTTCTTGAAACTTTCAAAATTCGAAATTTTAAAAATTTTGAAAAAAAAATATGAATCCCTTTAAAAAAATTGGGGAAAAAATCCCCCCCCAACTTTTTGAAACCCCCCTTGGAGCAATAACCCCAAAACTCAATCCCAGCCTTTCCTTTGTAGTATGGAACCTTGTAGTACAATTTCAGAGAGATCCATACACTTACACACAAGTTATAGTCTGGAAACTAGAAAAATGCTTGTTTTTGGCCCTTTTTTGGCCCATAATTCCTACATGTTTGGGACAATTAACCCCAAACTCAATCCCAGCCTTCCCTTTGTTATATGAAACATTGTGGTACAATGTCACAGAGATCCATACACTTACACACAAGTTATTGTCTGGAAACTAGAAAACTGCTTGTTTTTTGCCCCTTTTTGGCCCTTAATTCCTAAACTGTTGGCCCCCATAACCCCTAAAATGAATCCCAACCTTCTGTTTGTGGTAGTAAACATTGTGGTACAATTTCAGAGCAATAGAAATACTTATACACAAGTTATTATCCTGAAACTAGAAAAATGCTTGTTTTGGGCCCCTTATTCCGAAACGGTTGGGACCATCGTCCCCAAAATCAATCCCAACCTTCCTTTTGTGGTATTGAACCTTCTTAAAACATTTCATAGAGATCCATTCACTTAAACTAAAGTTATTGTCCAGAAACCAATGTGTCTTCGGATGACGACACAGACGACGACATCATACCATTATACGATCCCAAAAAAATTTTTGCGGTCGTATAAATAGTAACTTCTAACAAGCATTCTGAGAGTATTGCATGGCAATACATAGTCCCCTACCAGGTAAAAATTCATTATACTGGAACAAAATGCTAACTTGTTCTATAACTAGTCATGGTGTAAACAAAAAGAAAATATCAAGTCAATATCTTCAAGCATGACTAAAAACAGTGTGGAAAACTGAATATATGAGTGAATTTTTTCAAGTCCAAGGACCATAACTCTGCACAAAATTATCAGACCGAAACAAAAATTTGAACTTGATCTGTAACTTGTCATGATAAAACTATTTACCAATTGTCAATCAATATCTTCAAGCATGATGAAAAAAAGTGTGGAAAACCTATAACACTCTAACATTAGATATGATGTAATACAATGTATATCTATTTTCAAATTACAATCAAATATAATTAATAGTTCCAAATATTTTTTCTTTCATTTGTCACAAACTAGTATAGATTTGTAACTTACCTATAAAATGTCAACAACTTTTATCTACACAATGTAATGTAATGAAATATATACCTTAATAAAAATAGATTATTATCTAATTAAAGGATTTCACCTAATAAAAAAATATATATATATATACATGTAGCATTCAGAAAATTAGTTTATACAAAATAACATATAAACCTGCCACAAAATTCCTCAAACAATTTACCAAAGAATGTCCTTTAAAAAATGAGTTATCTCCCTTTGTACAGTTTATATGGTTTAACATAGTACTCTAACATTAGTTATGGAGTTTTTTCATGGACCATAACTCTGGATAAATCATCAGACCGTAACAAAATTCGAACTTGATCTATAACTTGTCATGATAAAACTATATACCAAATATCAAATCAATATCTTCAAGAACGAAGAAAAAAAGTGTGGAAAGCTGAGTTGCCGGACTGACAGATGGACAGACGGACAGACAGACAGACGGACAGGGTGCAAACCTAAAGTCCCCTTCGACTTCGTCAGTAGGGGACTAAAATAAATTGACAGCTAATCACCTCAAGACAATGCAACATTTCTTTATACATAATTTAAAAGCAGTGTAAGGGAGGTAATTCAAACACATCATTGTATCCCATCATAACCACCCAAAGCCAATTCTTACCATCCCTTTGTGGTATGGAAACTTGTGGTATAATTTCAGAGAGATCCATACACCGTTTCACAAATCATTGTCTGGAAACTAGAAAAATGCTTATTTGGGCCCCTAATTCCTAAACTGTTGGGACCATAACCCCCAAAATCAATCCCAACCTTCCTTTTGTGGTTATAAACCTTGTGTTTAAATTTCACAGATTTCTATTTACTAATACTAAAGTTATTGTCCAGAAACCAAATGTCTTCAGATGATGACGAGGCTGACGTGATACCAATATACAACCGCAAAATTTTTTGCGGTCGTATAAAAATAAATTGGGAATGTGTCCATGGGACACAGATGATGCCCCTGCTTCCATATCATATAAAGTAATAAAGGGACATAACTGAAGAACGGTAAAAGTGATGCTACCCAACTTTGTTATTGATCTGAGTTTTGTAGTAATAAGTATTGTGTATAAGTTTCATAACATTTGGTCAAGGCAAACTTAAGTTAGAGAACGGAAACAAAAAATTCAGCAATTTTTCCTTTTGTAAAGGGGCATAACTCTAGAATAGTAAAAGTGACACCACCAAAAATTTAACTTGATCTGTATTTTGTTGTAATAAGCATTGTGTATAAGTTTCATAACATTTGGTTGAGGCTAACTTGAGTAAGAGAACAGAAACAAATAATTCAGCAATTTTTCCATTTGTAAAGGGACATAATGCTAGAACGGTTAAAGTGACACCACCAAAATTCAAACTTGATCTGTATTTTGTGGTAATAAGCATTGTGTATAAGTTTCATAACATTTGGTTGAGGCAAACTAAAGTTAGAGAACGGAAATGAAAAATTCAGCAATTTTTCTTTTTGTAAAGGGGCATAACTCTAGACCTGTAAAAGTTACGCCACCAAAATTCAATCTTGATCTGTGTTTTGTGGTAATAAGCATTGTGAATAAGTTTCATAACATTTGGTTGAGGCAAACTAAAGTTAAAGAACGGAAACCAACTTTGGGATGTACGGAGGGACAATGGTAAAACTTAATGCCCCCTCCGCTACGGCGGGGGCATTAAAATACATATCAAAATTAATAATAAAATAAAGTCTTAATAATGGAAGCATTAATTTATTTCAAATATTTCAATAATAACACATGAATAAAACACATTTCTACTCTTAACATGTAACCATGATAGATGATGTCTACATAAGACATCTTAATAAATATAATCCTCTTTATAAGAGCTGGAAAAATACACATTCTAAAACTACATTCTCTGAGGTATGAAACATAGATACAGATGAATTTACATAAATGTTTTTTTGCAATTTATACAAAGATGCAACAAAAGAACATTAAACAATCTGTATTTATCTAGTAATTAGATGACTTATACATTTACAACCCACCAGATATTGCTCTGCTATAACTGTACAATAAGACATTTGTTGCCGAAGCCTTGCCCACACCAAATCATCCTTCACAGTTCTGAAGCAGTGGAAAAAAAAAATTTCCTCACAAAATATTTGACCATCTTTTACATTGTTAGTTATTGTTAAAATTAATTGTTACTTTTAATTTGTCCACGTTTGATTCATTTTGGTGTACTGATCTTTAGCTAATTGCATATGTCACTTTGGTGTACCGATCTTTAGCTGATTACATGTGTCATTTTGGTGTAATGATCTTTAGCTGATTGCATGTGTCAATTTCTAAATGTGTAAATGTAAAAATTTGTGGTCTCCATAGAACAAGATAAAATTGATAATTTTGAAATGAAAATATTACAACAAAAATGAGTTCACCAATATGTTAAAGCAACAATATTACCCAAATTAAATTCATGATAAAGACAATATGTGTTTAGTGTTGTTAAATATAAGCTGTATTTGCACTAGATTTGAAACAGGATTAATGTTTGCTTTAGCTTTAATTTCACCTATTTCTTAGTTTAGTTTGAATACAACAGATATTTGAAGACACTAAACACATATTGTCTGTTTCTGATCAAATACTCTTCTCAATAGTATATAGCATTAAAATGAATATGTTCGAAAAAGTAATATATTTTGTACCTGAATATACCTGCAATAAATTAAAGTTTTAAAGTCAATGGATCATGACTGAGGAGGCAACAAATACAGTAGACTCCGGCAAATCGGATACCCAAAATGTCAGCTAAAAATATCCGATTACCAGATATATTCAATTAGACGATGAATGTATATTCATTGAATATTCTGCAATAATGAGTAGATATAATCCTGAGATGTCACTAACCCTGACAATTGCTAAATATGTGAAAGGGTTGGAGGATTGATGGAGTGATTTTTATCAGTTACATCACCACGATGTTTTTGTAAAAAATTATCAGCTGATTATGTAATGATTAAATTTGTTTGCAGTTTTTAAATCCTTTATTTATTAAAATAAATCAAATGTCCTGAAATATTTATGTGAATTTTTATCTACCATCCATAGTTTGTCTTTATTTGTTTTGTAAGCAAATTAATTATAGAATAACTAATCAAAGATTTCAAAAAGAGAAAAATATTCAACGAGTGACCGAACAACACATTAATTCACGAATGCGCGTAGTGCATGAGTTAATTATCAGTGTTATTCGGTCACGAGTTGAATATTTTTCGATATTTGAATTCTTTGATTAGTTATTCTTTTTATTACATTGGCAAATGGCTTTTTTTTAATGAAATTAATGTAGAAAATGTAAGGAACTATATCTTTTTTCTACGCATTCACAATTTGTTTTGATCCGACGTTATCGACGTCTTGACAACGCCTATTGTTGTATGACGTCAGAGAGTGAAATAACCACGTTTATTTCACATGTGAAATTATCGGTTTTTATTTGACTGGGAAATCAATGTAATTCAATGCTACCAATGTAATAATATCCATTATTTACATTATCACACAGGTAAACTAATTTGGCTATAAATAGATCTAAGCATGTCTGTGTAGAATCTCCAAACTAAAATTGTATTTGTTATAATTTTATTTCTTTAAATAATCAAATTTAGATTTATGAAAATAATCATGATTGATAAAATATTATTGCATAAAGTTTACGTTTTCTGAAGACTATTTATATTTAGGTCATAGTTCTAGAGGCTTCCTCACAAATTTGTAAACATCCAAAATGGCGTCCATGACATGTGGTTACTTTTGCACATGTGAAAAAAATATATCTGACAAAAGTCAGATTTCTCTTGTCAAAAGGGATTTATATTTATATTGCAATAAATTATTCAGAAGGAGGTACATTCAGTTTAGATTATATTTCTGATTCTGTGAACATTTAGAGTTTAATCAAAATTCTACAGCAACGTCAACTTGTCAACTGAGTCTTGCATATTTTATAAATAAATTCAAACCATTTGAAGTAAAAGGGCATCTAATCCACATGACAAAGGAATACAATGATTAAAGACAACAATTTATTAAGAAATAGTTCCTTTTATTTAGTAAAAACAAAATCTTCTTGTCTGCAAGATTGTAAATTCCTAACTTCCGGGTCCATTTCCTGTCAGAAAAAACATTGAAAATATCCGATTGTGCACGGTTTTGAACAAAATTACCTGAATATTCTTATCCGATTTGCCGATATATTCTAATATCCGATATTCGATTACATGATATAATCAACATTAAACATATAGGGAAGGGTTTGGTGTTTTGAAATAATATTACAATAGCCGATATATTCGTTTAGCCGATATCCGATTAGGTGGAGTCTACTGTAATTTCCATGGACATGAGATGTTCTAATACTAATACAACTGCATACCAATTATTATTGACTTATCATTAGTAGTTCTCCTTAAACTGACCTAACCACTAAATTTAAATAACAATTGTTGACACTGCTATTGCCAGAAACAGCACACCCAAGTCTTAATTCCACAACTTTGTTGTAAGCAAGACAAAAATTATGAAAAAGTTAATTATTTTGATAGAAAAATAATTGATACTGTCAAAGATAGAAAATTTTAATTTGAGAAAATTTATAAAAAAGAACTCTCAAAATTTAAATTAATTTGAAACAAACAAATAAACTCTTATTCCTGCTGTTTCTCTTCATTTGTTACAATTTTAACCAAAATGTCAAATAGTCATCTAATTTAATAAGTAAGAAGCAGAGAAACACACTCAATACATCACTAACAAGAATCAAGTATACATTTAAATACAAAAATCCCTCATTCAAATTTACAAACAAAATCAAAACCCCATTCATGAATAAAATAGATATAAATATATCAACTGCATGCGCTTTTTGAAAATTACATCAAATATTCATGACTTTAAATAGTCAGTACATATGTTTATAGTTGGGTAATATGGACTACTTTTAATAAAATTATTAAAAAAAATTGAATTTATCCTTAAATGAAAAACAAAGTTTTACTCACATACTTATAAGAAATCTCATCTAGCTTATGGTACATGTAGTATGGTAGTATTTAAAAAAATGAATTTGTTTATACTTTGCAAAAATATAGTATACATCATGCTATTTTCAAAAATAAAATAAAAAGTAGGTCACCAATGCAAGCTTGTTTTCAAACTACAGGTTGTTAAAAATTAACACATTTTGTAATGGTTATACAGGTGGATAGAAAGAAAACAAAATGATTTTTTTTTTTTTTAATATAAGATGAAAAGATAGCTTTAGTTCAATAAATGATGAACATTTCTCTTTTCCAATTACTGTGGTAAAAAAATAGTTTATGTATAATACATAAATGTTTATAATACACAGATCTTTACAATATTGGTGAACTGCTTATATCACCTGATTCATGTCATGATTTAAAAGCTGATTATATTTTACTTAGATTGATTCATCAGCCACAATGTATTGTTATGCCATCATAATTTGAGAAAAAAAATAGAAATACAACCAGTATTGTTTTCTAGCCATAATCATTTAAACTTTTGTTGTTTTAAAAATTTAATTCTTTATAGGTTATGATTTCTTAAAATGAACCATGATGAGGGGGTGGGGCTATACAATCTCCATGGAAATGAGACTTGCAAATGCCAATAAATTTGCATACCAAATATCATTGACTTAACATAAGCAGTTCATCTTAAACTAATCTAATCACAAACTAATACATGTAAACTAAGCAAAAGTTTCAATGTCAAGAGACCATGACTGAGGGGGTGGAGTCATATATTCTCCATGGAAATGAGATGTGCTAATTGCTTATACAACTGCATACCAAATATCATTGACTTACTACAAATGGTTCCCCTTGAACTGACCTAATCACCAACTTATACATGTAAACTAAGCAAAAGTTTCAAAGTCAACAGACCATGACTGAGGGGGCGGAGCCAAATAATCTTCATGGAAATGAGATATGCCAATGCTTATACAACTGCATACCAAATATCATTGACCTACCACTAGTGGCTCCCCATAAACTGACCTAATCACAAACTAATACATGTAAACTAAACAAAAGTTTCAAAGTCATTAGACCATGACTGAGGGGGCAGGGCAAAATAATCTCCATGGAAATGAGATTTGCCAATGCTAATACAAATGCATACCAAATATCATTGACCTACCACAAGTGGTTCACCATAAACTAGACCTAATCACAAACTAATACATTGTTGAAGCCGCCGTCGTCGCCGCCGCTGAAAAAAGCATACCTATGTCTCACTTTTTGACCCTGTCAAGGCCAGACAAAAATTAAAGATATGTGTGTAATTGTATGTCAATAATCTAATAACTGATTGTGATTTTAGATAAATACAATATCTGTTACTATCAAATCAGAATTAAGCACAAGCATTATCATGTATTATTGCAGAACATAAATAACTGATAAAAATGTCACTGTGAGATTGATAGTTTTATAGTACCTCTATGTGTCTATACTACTCTGCTCTGACAGTGGCAAAAGCAGAACTTATCAAGCTTTCATCCAGTTAAATAACCAACATGACCAAGCCCCAAAAAATAAAATGAAGGCCTAAGAACAAAAATGATTCCAGAATGTCAATGAGTATGATTAACAGATTTATTTATAAGGATTTTTTCTGTGATATCATAATTTTTTTAATTATAGATTGATAATTATATTTGCATAAAAGTATTCACGAGTATATATCTTTTAATATACCTTAAATGCAAATTATTTGCTACATTTAAAACAAATTTTGTTAATTATTTCAGGATGTAACAATCTATTTATACTGAGATAATATGTAGAAATATTGCGAAATTCCCATAATGACAGCACCTCACAAGCAATTTTAAACTAATTAAGCCAATTAGAATCAACACCATTCAACACAAAGTAAAGCAGTGTATAAAACAAAGTACAAAACAATTCTTAGTTACACTCTTAGACTTTTTTTAACATACTACATCTTGTTTTTATATGAATTTTACAATAATTTAGTATCCACTGGAATGATAATTGGTTGAGCATAATTAATCTCAAAAGACTTGAGAGAAGATAACTTACAGGAGAAAACACAGGAAAAACATCAGTTGTGAGAGCATATACATTTGTAAACTTAGCATATATGAATGGCATACAAAGCTTTCAGAATTCTAGCTTTCATTTTCAGTATCATTTTCTTTACAATTCAAATGGTGTTAAACCATCTTTCTACTTGTTCTTTACATAAACATACACACCCAACAATAATAAGCCCAAAAGAATCACAGTTCTGACACTTGTAAGTAATTTGGTTACTTCAGCCACATCTTTTATAACATGTATTAATTATCAACCCTCAGTACTATTTTCTTTAAAATCAGGAACAGGAAGTTTGACTTCTTCTTTTTTTACTTCTTTCTTTTCTTTGCTTTCACTTTTTTCCTCTTCATCTATCAAAGAAGGCCAGTTTGACTGACCCTCAGCTTTAACAAGTCTCTCATTCAGGGCTTTCAAAGCAACTTGTCTGGAAAAAGAAAATTCAAAATTAGCTCACCATGGATAAATACTAGTTTTGATCAATTTCTTGTAGAACTTTGGAAATTTGGTGTTGAAAGTAACTGAACAAATGGCTTTCATAAGGATCTCTTTCCTGTAAGAAATGAGTTTAGAAGATACATGTATGCAGTACTATGCACACAATATTAACACTTTTAATGTACTCAATTTTTTTTTTATTAATTACTTGAGTAGAAAAAAAACCTGTTTTCTCTTCTTTAGAACTTGCTATAATTTCTTATAGCTTTTATTTATTACATATAAGTTTATTTCAGTTTTGGTACACCTGTTAATATATATCTTTCTAACTCAATTTGCTGGAATCTTTCAATGTTTCCACATTTGTACTATCATTTATTTCTCATCTGGAATAAATATACCAGTCCTATAATTTCAATGATTTTTTTTTTATGTTTGTTGAAATCAAGTTCACTTGCATGTACATGTACCAAATAAATACAAAAAAAAAAAATCACAAATACTTTATATGAAAATGTTTTTTTTTGAGGGGGCCTAAATGCTATTTGGAATATATTGTTTTAAAACCACACTGTTGTGAAAATCATCAAGAATTTCAAAATAATTGTGAAGCTTAAGTTATTTTAATTGAACTGGGTTGAAGGGATCTCATGGAATTTGCATGATACAAGAAACATATGCATAAATACCTCCTTCTTTCAGCATCTAGAGGGTCTGTACCAGGTAAAGTTATAGTGATAGTTGATGGAGAACTAACATCATACTTCCTCTGGGGCTTCTTGCACACTTTTATCTTCACCAAGGCAAAGAACACTGTGTTTGCCAGAATTGAGACTAAAGGTTGAAGCTGGCTAGGAAAAAAGCTGAAATAAAAAATGGAAACTACATGTATTATCTATCATTAGACATTACAACTAAATTATGGATGTAATACATGCACAATGTATGTTAAAATTGTAAAATATTAAATTGTTATTATACATGACTTTAGGTACATTTTTTGTTAGTCTGTAATGAAGGTTCAAGGATGTCACGATTACTTTAATGTTATATTGTTTTCATCATGATCTTAAATTTTGACAAATCTATATTGCACATCCTGGAACTCAATTTTCCCAGTAAAGAGTGATCTATGTACAATGTATGTCTATCAAAAAATGTATGACTCTTTCTCTCCTTAACAGGAAATTTTGAATGGATGTTGCCATGATCAACATGCAAAGTTTATAACAAAAGAAGACTGAACAAAAACATTTTGCAATCAAAATTTTATTCTCCATCACATTTTTTACTCTACTTGAATACATGTACCCAAATCCAGTGACATGTCTTATTAATTCCCAACCAGAATATACATGTATCATTGAATAAAAAAACTCATGATTTTATACTGCAAATAGTGTTTCCTACAAGAGGTTTTCAGGGTTCTCATTAAGGCGAGTCCATCATGCAGGGCCTATTCTTAGATTTTGGAGAGGGAGAGGTAAAATTCCATTACCATTTTGATTGTGTTGTGTTTTCATGCTTATCTACATGTATGACATACATAAAATTGAGAATGGAATACATGTACATTAAGGAAATTGTTTGATATATGCAATAAAAAATATACCAGCAGTGTTTTTATATGATACTGATTATATTGAAAACCCTTAATAAAATAGTATTGACAATGTAATTGTTATTTATTTAGCATGTTTAGTCATATCATTTGTACTAATAATTTGAATTACTGCAGCCTTATAAAATATGACAGAAATGGGGCATGTCACCATGACATTTTTACAAAAAAGGGAAGGGCCTCAAGAAAACACAGTGGGCACCAAGCCCCCTTTTCGTCGTATTTTATAAGGCCCTGCTGTAATTTATGATAGCTTCTGCAATTCATCTTTTCATAAGACCATTTCGAGATATTTCCCTTTGAACAAAATCAAATTTGCTTTCGAAACGTTTCGGCCACACAACCAGTTCAGTCATAGGTGGTTTCGGCCACAGTACCAGTTAGCTCATGCCAATGATCATGATAATAAAAAACAATAGCATGCATATTTTTTTGTTTTTCCCTTAACAAGCATCATAATATGCCTATGTGTTGCCTTAAAATGAAAGCAAACTCATCACATGTACATGTAGTTGTGGGTATTTCTGAAGTAGTCAATTAATCCATGGGTATGGATAATCATTCTGCTTGAAACGGAAAGAATCATGAAAAAAAGGGGTGACGCATTGGAGATACATGTATGTCCCTTTTTCAGAAACATTATATAGATGTATATCCATACTTTTTTCTCATTTTTTTACATATGTTTAGCTCAATGCATTAATGATACATGTACATTGTAGCTTCATCATGTGTGCAATTCCCTTTGTTATTATACTTTTTTGAGCAATAACCATCATACATTTTTATTGTACATGTAAAAGCTGACAACAGGTCAAATGTACCTTGAAAATCCAAAATTATCTGCCATGTCACCACGATTTCCATTGCTGTGCTTTTGATAAAACCTTAGATATATCCAACTAACTACAATTCCAAATCCAAACATAAATGGATACGGCCCTTCTAATAGACCAATAAGCCTCAATGTAATGCTAACGAAAAGCAATAACAATGGAATATGAGTGTTTCTGAGTTTCCCGAATGGTGATGTTGCTAATACATGATCAGGCATAGCTTGCTTAACTGCCACTGAAAATCCTGCAATATAGCCGGCAAGTCCATAAATGTATGTTTCAAATAAATATTCTTCATTTTTTGTTACTAAATAAAATGCAATATAAACAAACGCAGTTCCTATGGCAACTCCTGTATTAATTATGACAAAGAATATTAACATATCTAATGCACCCCATAATGGTTCCAACAGTTTACCACATAGGACTAAAACGGAAACATCGATGAGAACATCCCATACGTGCATTTCGATAAATGGATGAGTAATGAAAGTCCAAAATCGAAAATTTGGAGGCATAACATAGCCAGGTGTTACGGCTAGGTAAGGAATAGCTGAAGAGGCAAATGACAGGAAATATCCCAGTGTCACAGCAACAGTTACACCCTTAACAACCACACTACTGTTCCCTATAGTCATTGTAACTTGTTCCTTTAGGAAAGGCAAATTCTTCTTGATAGTATCCGCCATGTTGACGGAAGTTGTTACATGTCAACTACGTGCGTTCGAGTTACTACTCGATTATTCGCAAGCAGATTATTGGTGTTATTGGCCTCTTCGACGTCCGCTTAACGTGTGTAATGAGGGTATTGGTGGGTTTTACAGAATAGAGAATAATGACCAAAACAAATGATGAATAGAGAAAAAAAAGAAAAAAACTATAAAGAAAAGAGAATAATGGGGTGCAAAAATATAAAGAATAACTGTGAAAAATAATAGAATAATTATGTCATATAATAATGATTACAGAAATAAACCATGTACAGTATAAAGAAATCATCTAATATTACAGAAAATTTGAATAATAAAATCATTTTCATGAGAATTATACAGAATAAGCGTTATTTTTTAAAGATAAAAAAAAAATGCGCTAAATATTAAAAGAAATGAAGGACCTCGATCCCTGGATCCCGCGACGCTGGCCTTATCTTACTTTGATTTGGATAATATCCATTATTTTACTATCCATACTTAAAAATATTAAATTGAGTATTCAACGAAAAAAAAACATTAAAAGTCCAGGCTACTATATTTCTATACTGCAATAAACCCACGGAGAAAGTATAGTGCACATTTTATGAGATAGGCATTACATTGTGACTATCAGTTTAGGGACCAATATAGGGACCAAGCATAATCAATTGTAATATTTTTTTTATAATCTGACACACGATACCTCTACCAGTACAGAGAACTAAATACCTACAAAATATGAAGCCTTTCAGTAAGAGCTGTGATACTTTTAATACACTTAGTTTAGTCATGGACCATGAGTAAATTAATAAGGATAAAAATACCGTCTATACTCAAGTTATGATTTAAAATGATAGCGTCATTATTGGAGATCCGTTCACTTTTAAGCACGTTAAAAACAAACAACACTTAATTGATCTCAGATCAATAAATGTTAATCAGTATGTTAATTATTCCAATATTTATTACGTTTTAATACCAGAGACATATACATATATGTAATATTTAATATGTCTCTGCTTGTCACAAGTTGCGTTTTTTTTGGGATGGGATGTCGGCAACAGTGGGGGATCCAGAAATTTTTATAAGGGGGTCCTACTGACCGCCATAAGAGGGGGCCCGCTCCAGTCATGCTTCAGTGGTCCCTAAATAATCAACCAATAATTTTCCCCACAAAAGGGGGACCCGGACACCCGGCACCCTCTAAATCCGCCTCTGGGTAAGAAAAATGTACATCATTGTCTCTTCTTTATTTGATATGTTGTTTTTATTTATTTGTGATTCATTGTAACTAATCTGCTTAATTCTTGTTGTCACTGTGATTAGCAACAATAAATTAAAGTATCTTTATCTGATACATAAAAACATTTTATTGTTATATCTTAGGATAATGCCCTCGGCAAACTTAAAGGTAATCTCTAACTGTCGCCAAAAGACTTGGTTTTCACACTTGATCAGCGTGGACCAATGACTAATATATTGTAATAGTCCGAGCCTGAACATATTCAATACGTTCACAGAGAATACATGTTTTACGAAGATAGCCAGGGCTATTTTTTAGAACGCGAAATCAAAACCGCACATCCGGTAATCACGTGTGTGCTTCTTTTGTCATGTGATCGTAAAGTGAAAGTTGAGTAAAAAAAAAAAACAACACATGCACAAATGAGATTTTCATAGAGTATGATTGTCGGTGATTTTTATTAACTAAGAAGAAATTTATCAATCAGCGACAAATTTTTAAGGATCCAAGAAATAGGTATTTCATAAGACATGACATGTCATATGAGTCGTTATGTTTTTTTTATTATCACAATATCAGTAGTACAGTACACATGAACTCCAGCTTTTGACAGTTCTGGCAATTCCCAAATTATGACCTTACCTTTCATGTGACATTACCAAAGATAGTTAAATTTCAGTTCAACTTGGTCATTGTCAAGCAGACAGTGAATAACAAATGTGATAGGGGTGTTTGTAAGTATAACTACCAACTTTAAACTGACCAGATGTTTGTGGCTCATAGTAGATTTGGACATACTAAACATGGAATAAAAGAGTTGTGATTAAGTTTCATTTTTACCAATCAGAAGCAATATTTTCAGTATTGTGTATGAGAAAATATTTAAAACTAGCAGTGAGTAGCTAGGATATATACTGCCCTCAGGTAAGTTTATAGCAATCATCAAATGAAAAAAATGAAAGTTTCTTATTTAGTTATCATGTAAACTCAGATTCTATACACTTAAGAGATGATCTAAACAGTCTATTTAAACAATAAATCAATCTATTCAAATTTCTGACATTATATGAAAAAAAAACAGTACAAAGATTTGAATGATTTTATTCTCATAAACTAGTACACAGTTACATACATGTAGAAAATAACAGTTCATATATAATACATATTTTGTTTTGCATGTCAATAAGGTTGAAGATAATTGTTGTTTACAAGGTTACAAGCTAAAAAAATGACCTTTTAAAAGAATTTCTATCTTGTTTTTTTTCTGTTAAATATATTTTAGTGTCATCAGTTAAAGTACAAATCTAAAAGACAAGAAGATGATAAACAAATAGAGTGATATGTCATAGGAACACATTTAGAAAATGACAGAACTTTTATTCAAGATCATTATTATTGGTGATCCAACAGTTGGAAAGACATCCTTTATTCAGAGATATGTCAATGATTCCTTCCGCAGAGATTATAAAATGACCATTGGAGGTTAGATATTTATATATATATATTTATATGAGGATGTGGATGGGGCTTTACAGAATAAAGAATAATGGGCAAAAAATATAAAGAATAGAGAAAAATGGACAAAAAAATAAAGAATAGAGAATAATAAGGTGCTAAAATATAAAGAATAGAGAAAAATGGCCTAAAAAATTAAAGAATATGGATTCCGAAATGAAAGACCCTTCAACCAGATCCTCATGTACTTTTTTGTGTGAAACTTCAATTCAGACCCAACTGAAATGAATTCATTGTTTATTTATATAATAAATGATAAACACATCAGAGGTTGACTTAATAAAATTTAAAAGTATGGCCCATAGGGCCAGTTAGTCGACTTAATAAAATTTAAAAGTATGGCCAATAGGGCCAGTTAGAGCATAAATTCACTGGCCCAACTCAAATAAAATTTGCCCTAATAATACTATCTAAGTGAAAATATAATCAAATGTACTGGCCAATGGGACCAGTAGTCTTTATGTTCAATTGGCCTCGGGCCAGTGGCCCGTGCTTAAGTCAACCCCTGCTGACATATTTCTTGCAGGTTGATTGTATTACTAATGTTAAGAGTTTCATGTGGAAGTTGGTTAAATCATACCCACATGACAATGTTATATATATTGGAGTTCAGTTTACCCTTTTATGACAATGATAAATGTTTGTTTTGCCTTGTATTCAACATATATTTGTGTTTTTGTTTTATTTTCATGTGTTTTCCTTTAAGATATAATTAAGTGTTTATCTAATAATATCACTATAACATCTTTATAGATCATATTGGATTTAACATGCATGGTCTATAAACTGATGTGGTCTGACTCAACTCAAATACTGTAAAAGGAGATCCATTCTGTTTTACTATATAAATAAATGTGAACTATATATTTACATGTGTAGTGCAACAATTATATGGTCAAAAAGAGTAATACTATTATTAAAAGAGGAAATAACCAAAGAATCCAGAAATGTTCAATGTTGGTTTAGTGTTTTTTTCTCCCTTATTTGTCAAAATGTTTTAGATTACCTTAAAAGCTTTAGGAATTGAGGTGGGAGATAAACATAGTGTAATTACTTAAGTTGATACACAGATTACAACATGTTTTCTTTTCAATATCCTCCCTGGTATAGCCCCTGATCCATACCCAATAAGGTCCATACTAATGTATGATATACAAGTAACCAGAAATTAATTGTCAGAAAGAATGATTGATTGTTGGTTGCTTAACATCTAGTGGCAAATATTTCATGCATGATCAGGATGATGAACAAAGATGTTTACTTATAGTTTTCTATTTATGTTGTACACATATTTTGTTCACAATATTTAAAAGAGTTACATTTAGTTTGTAAAACAGGATAATGATGGCCAACGTTGAACATTATAATTTGTACTTATGAATAAGAGGATTAACTTTTGAGACCTTATGAGGAATAAGTCAGTTAAAAGGTAAACATGATTAAAAGTAAAAGGCACCAATGATCTCTCTAAAGTTATTTTTATATCTCTTTTTGAAAATAAATTTTACTGTGTTTTTATGCCCCACCTATGATAGTAGAGGGCATATGGTTTTCTGTCCATCTGTTAGCCCATCATTCTGAGGTCAAATTTTTTGGTTTAGGTAATTTACCATGAAGTTGTGGTCACATCAACTTGTACTTAACTTAGTGCACATGGTGTGAACTTTTTAAATAATATGCCAAAATAGGGTTTTATCCAAATTTTGTGGTTCACTGTACATAGGAAAATATTGTTAGTGTGAGTGGGGCATGGTGTCCTGTAGACATATTCTTTTTTATTATATGGCAAAGAAGAGGTAATAAGCATTGGACTTGACCAGAAGCATTTAATACAATTTTATTATAGGATTGTCTGTCTTGACAATTGAAAAGACAAAACAAGTTAAGAAGACAGGATTTTTCAAAAAGCATTGATTTGAAACACTCAGATCTGTTTAATCCAATTAACAATTGAAAAAGTTCAAAGTTAGGCAAAGGACATACCTATAAATATCTATGATAGCCAAAGTCAAAATGACCAATGAAAATATGATTCAATTAATTTAGAAAATAACAGTATTTAACATATGACTTATTTATTTATTAGTTGATTTTGCGCTGAAAGTTGTGAAATGGACAGAAAACCAGATGATAAAACTACAGCTATGGGACATAGCAGGTACAGGTTAAGATATGTAGAGATTGAAAGTACAGTCAGCAGTGACTGTGACAGAGGAAAATGAAAATGAAGAAAATCTATTGACGATACAAGACTGAAAACACTGCAAAAAGATGAAGAATATTGTACAATCGCAATGCCATTAAGACATTTGTTATATTTAAGATTAATGCAAAAAACATTTTATACCAATTTTTTTCAATTTACTTCTTTACAATCTTAACATTGATTGATTGATTTTTGATTGCTTAATATCCAGTGGCAAATATTCCATGCATGTTGAGGACGATCTTATTTTTAGACAAAAATTATATGATAATTTGTAATACTGTGGATTCATTTATTTTCGTGGTTATCAATTTTCGAGGATTGAGGGAAACTTGCATTTTCGTGGATATTTGATTTCGTGGTTTTGCAAATCTCCACATACATAGCCTATAGAAAATTTACAATTCGTTGAACATTTGAATTTGTGGTTCACCTGTACCCACGAAACGCACGAAAATTGGTATCCAACGAATAATAATGAATCCACAGTATAAGTAGTGTAAGTCTTCCAAGTGTAGCACATGATCCAATTGTTGATCGGAATAATTTTAGTAGGATATTTAAGTTTAAATCTGAATAATTCTTTCTGGAGAAAGTATGCCAAAACTCAAACATAGATGAGAAACTTGTTTCTTTTTTAATAGCAGAAAAAAATTCAAAAGCAATCAGTCAAATGTATGTTTTTATTTCATCACAGATAGAATGATTATTCACAGAGTTGTACTCTTTGCAAATAAAAACTGCAATGTCAGTATAATGTTTTGAAATAATACTTTACACATATTCAAAACATTTATAGGTCAAGAGAGGTTTACATCAATGACCAGAGTCTATTACAAAGATGCTCATGCTTGTGTCATAATGTTTGATGTGACTCAACGATCCACATTCCAAAATGCTGTTAACTGGAAAAAGGATCTGGATTCAAAGTGTTCTTTAACTGATGGTACTCCAGTTCCATGCTTACTCTTAGCGAACAAGGTAATTATTTAAAGTTTAACTGATGGTACTCCAGTTCCATGCTTACTCTTAGCAAGCAAGGTAATTATCTAAAGTTTAACTGATGGTACTCCAGTTCCATGTTTACTCTTAGCAAACAAGGTAATTATTTAAAGTTTAACTGATGGTACTCCAGTTCCATGCTTACTCTTAGCAAGCAAGGTAATTATCTAAAGTTTAACTGATGGTACTCCAGTTCCATTTTTACTCTTAGTAAGCAAGGTAATTATCTAAAGTTTAACTGATGGTACTCCAGTTCCATGTTTACTCTTAGTAAGCAAGGTAATTATCTAAAGTTTAACTGATGGTACTCCAGTTCCATGCTTACTCTTAGCAAACAAGGTAATTATTTAAAGTTTAACTGATGGTACTCCAGTTCCATGCTTACTCTTAGCAAACAAAGTAATTATTTAAAGTTTATGTGATGGTTCTCCAGTTCCATGCTTACTCTTAGCAAACAAGGTAATTATTTAAAGTTTAACTGATGGTACTCCTGTTCCATGCTTACTCTTATCAAACAAGGTAATTATCGAAGGTTTAACTGATGGTACTCCAGTTCCTTGCTTAATAACTCTTAGCAAACAAGGTATTTTTTTTTACAGTTAACATTTTTCAGTAGAAATCAATTTAACTTTAAACCAGGGACATCATTAAATTTACTTCTCAAAAGATTAAAAAAAATTAAGATAAAAAGTGGATTCATTTAATTTTCATGAGGAAAAATTAAATTTTTGTAGAAACTTGATTTCATGGTTTAATCAAATTCTGCAAACAAACCTTGAGAAAATTTTTTTGAACACTTAAATTCGCGGTTGTTAAATTCATGGACCCACGAAATCCACAAAATTACCCCAAAAATAAAATGAATCCACAGTATATAAAGTTAGTAAAGCATAAATAAAATTGATTAATCAATTTATCATTTGAGTTATCATACATTTAACTTTAAATAAAGGTCATATTCAGGGAATATTCAGGGAATAACAGACATATGTACACATATGGACTTATTTTGATAGTTTCAAACATACATGTTTCTACAAAGAGATCAGTAAAGGTTCCTCCCAAGATTCACAAAATTGAAATTCTCCCTTAGACCAGTCTGAAGGAGATAAAAATATTTCCCTTTTGCAAGAAATTTCAAAAATGGTTATCCTTTACTATTTATTATGACCAGGGCTTGTACTTTTTCCTGTTAAAACTGTCCAATTGTATGATTTTTTTTAACATCATATAAACTGTTCAAAGCTGTTGTTTTCTTTACCAGTAAGTTAAAATGCTTAACACCCAATGGGCAATATCAAATATATATAACCAAGGATTTGTATAGTAATAACTGAAATTTCTTTTCCAAAGCGGTTTCAAATGATATAATGCAAATTTTCAGTTGAAATATTTATGAATAATCATGCCACATTTCTTTTGATAGTGTGATCTCAGTCATAAAGAAGTGGAACAGTCTGAGATAGAAGAAATGTGTAGGGAACATGATTTCATTGGCTGGACTGAAATATCAGTCAAAGAGGGTTTAATGATTGAAGAACCAATGAGGTGAGTCATTTGATAAATGTACGATTTGATTGGCTGGACTAAAATATCAGTCAAAGAAGGTTTATTGATTTAAGAACCAATGAGGTGAGTCATTTATAGATAAATGTACGATTTTATTGGCTTGACTGAAATATAGGTCAAAGAGGGTTTAATGATTGAAGAACCAATGAGGTGAGTCGTTAGATAATTAGATGAATATGTGATTTTATTGGCTGGACTGAAATATCACTCAAAGAGGGTTTAATGATTGAAGAACCAATGAGGTAAGCTAGATGGGTAAATGTATGATTTCATTGGTTGAAATATCAATCTGATAAAGATAAATGATTGAAGAATCATTGAGGTAAGTCACCGACTGTGCAAGATCCTCATGAGTAGTCAAGGACCCCCCTCGTCATCGAGGTAAGTCTGTTGGATAAATGTATGATTTCTTTGGCTGGACTAAACTATCAGTCAAAGAGGGATTATTGATTGAAGAACCAATGAGATGAGTCAGTTGGATAAATGTATGATTTCTTATGGTGGACTGAATAGGGACAAATGATTGAAGAACCTATGAGGTAAGTCAGTTGGTTGAATGTATGATATTATTGGTTGGACTAGAATTTGGGTCAGATAGAAGATAGATGTCTTTATTTTAGTATATAACACAAAATAACTACTTTCTCCAAATTATTTTTTGCCTAAATTCATGAACACATGTTTAGGCCTATTTGGTTTTTACATCTTATTTAGCGACTAAATTTGCAGTAACATTTGGCACAACAAATTTCAATAAGTCTTTGCCTTCTTGGTCTGGCTGCAGCTATTTGCATCAACTTTTGGAAACTAAATTCATTAGAGACAATAATAGTCACTATTGGCATAACAAAATTCTCCACTCTTTACCTGGCTGCAGATGTACTGCAACAATGTCACTGATGTTCTTTGTCATCATTTGGCTTTTTCTATTTGTTTCCAATAAAATGATCTCTTTGGCTTTATGTTTGGTACATAAATCATTTAAATATTTTGGTATGCACATGTTCGTCTGTCTGTCTGTAAGAAGGGGCCTTGGTGACCGAGTGGTCTAAGTTGTCGAACTACTGTATCACTAGCCTGTCAATTCTGAGACTGTCTCAGTTTGAATCCCGCACGTGGCAGGTGCACTCGACTCCAATCTTAATTGACTAGGATTGTCAGTTTTCCTACCGAAGATCAGTGGTTCTCTCCGGCACTCTGGCTTCCTCCACCAATAAAAACTGACCACCACGAAATAGCACAATAGTGTTGAAAGTGGCTTTAAACACCAACCAATCAATCAATCTGTCACAAGTTTTGTTTCCTTTGAACACAATGTCACAGATTTTTATGATTTTGACATATACCATTAAAAAGTTATTCCCTTAGAGGATTTTATGTTCTACTGTACTGAACTGCTTTTCAAGTATAAGTCCAAGCTAACTATAATAGCTGTACAGTAAAATAATTTTTTTCAATCTTTTTGCTATACTGTTTTGGAAATTTAAATAAATAAATGGTCTTGTTTCACTTGAATGAGTTACTGTCCTGCTTGATAGTAATACTATAATGCAACAGGAATAATCTGAGAGGGGAATACCACAGATATGAATATGAATACAAATACAAATTCTTTATTAAGGTGGTATCTAACACCTTGACTAATATTAATTTGGCTCGTTTAATTTTCATAAAATTTTGACAAAATGTTTACTTTGACCCTTTGACAAAAATGTAAAATTTTCAAAAAATTTGAACCAACCACTTTATCAGAAAAATTTCATTGGTTATATAGCAGTTTGACAAACACTAATTTTGATCATTGAGAAGCTTAATATTTCCTTAACAATACAAGGTAATTAAAACGTTTAGCTGATTTTTACAGAGTTATCTCCCTGTAGTGTTAGGTACCACCTTAAACCAATTATTAGCCCATAAAGGGCATGTTACATATTATGATTACAAAAGACATGCGTAAAGAAACAATAATGATAATTCTTATGATACCGGTAGTATGGATTTAACTATAGCAGTTGTTTCTTTATTGTAAAGATAAGAGAAAGATTATGAGTCTGTCAGACACAGATGCCCTGCCATAAAGGAATGTAGGAAAAACACTTCTACTAGGACTGCAAATCATTACTTTCGCTAGTCAAGTGTAAAATATAGGTCATGCTGATCCAAATGTACAAGGACCCCCACTTATGTAGCTTCATATATTACAAATGCATAGACTTTTTACAAGGATCACTCCAAATGTTGGCTTGCCAGTCGTCCCCCTTTTTTCCAAATCCTAGATTTATTTTCATACTTCCACATAAAACCGTATGCTTATAAACTTTATAATGTGTCTGTAAAATTTGTTGCTCTAGATAGTTAATTATAATAGGATATATATCAAGGTCAAAAGCTGTACTGTAGGATTAGACATTTAAGCTACCTACAGTTTTAAATATTGAAACATGTTGTTCACATCTAGACACAAATAAGGCAAACGCAATCGTACTAAATAAGTTTTGATCTGGTAAATTTATAATGCAGAAATATCTTTAAAAAAATCTTAGAAACAGGTCTTCAGTTTTGAATGGCATAAGGAATGATAATCAATATATTAGGTTCACATACCAAAGAAAGGACCACACTCGCGGCAAGCGTAAAATCCTCATCTTGATAGGTGAATGCACTGTTCTAATGTTTTTTATATAAAGAAATTAGAGTATACAAGGTAATAATGGGTTCAGGATGTTTAGACATAAAGGATTAAATACAGGAAGTTATAATACATTAACATTGTACAGTCAGAAATGGTGATGATTATGAAGAAATCACATTTTAAGGTTAGAAATTGTGATGTTGATAATAAAGAAGATGTTTCATTGACGTCTTGTTACTCTTCCATGTACATTAGATGTATAAATTTGAATGACTGGAATTGTAAAACAAATCAGAACTTTATTTAATTGAAAAACAAAGGATATGGGGTTTCATCCATGACACAAAATCAGTACATGCACAGCAAAAAGCACACAAAAAGCAAAGGAACCACACTTTTATTGCTGTTCTTCATCTCAAAGTAACAATGAGGCTTAAACCCGGTTCATAAACTGGAAATTTAATCATTTCAAGTCCTAATTGTAACTTCTTTTTCAAGGCATCATGTATATGATTTTCAATATTTTTCCAAAACTATTTCATGGCATGAAATGGTTTCACCATCACTTGCTGTATTCACATGATATTTTTTCCACCATCTCTAACGGTTTAAAGCTGTTACATAGATAGTCAAAGTATTTCAAAATCTTTGAAATTTCATCCAAAAAATTATGAAGTAGAAATTTATCAATTAAGGACTTTTGACGAGGTCAATACGTTATATATGGACCTGTTCAGACTATATTGACCGAGGACGAAGTCCGAGTGTCAATATAATCTAACAGGTCCATATATAACGTATTGACTGAGTGAAAGTCCTTAATTTTTATATTACATATGAACTAATGAATTAAGATGGACTGCAATGTTCTCTCTGTGTATTTTTAAATTGTATTTTGTAAGATTTTAACATGCCATTGAAAATATCAATAAATAAGATGAACTTGTTTGATTGTAAACAAATACAGAACATATCTTTTTTTTCTGTTTAGAACAAATAAGAATTCAAATTATACAATTTTCGTCTGCTGCACGCTTCTCCTTTAATTGTTATGTTTGACGTCATGACGTTGAATAATTTCAGACCGGAACAGCTTATATAGTCAAAGTATTTCAAAAACATTTGAAATTTCATCCAAAAAATTATGAAGTAGATATTTATCAATTAAGGACTTTTGACGAGGTCAATACGTTATATATGGACCTGTTCAGACTATATTGACCGAAGACGAAGTCCGAGTGTCAGTATAATCTAACAGGTCCATATATAACGTATTGACTGAGTGAAAGTCCTTAATTTTTATATTACATATGAACTATTGAATTAAGATGGACTGCAATGTTCTCTCTGTGTATTTTTAAATTGTATTTTGTAAGATTTTAACATGCCTATGAAAATATCAATAAATAAGATGAACTTGTTTTATTGTAAACAAATACACAACATATCTTTTTTTTCTGTTAAGAACAAATAAGAATTCAAATTATATAATTTTCGTCTGCTGCACGCTTCTCCTTTAATTGTTATGTTTGACGTCATGACGTTGAATAATTTCAGACCGGAACAGCTTATATCCAGATCTAAATTTAGCAAGATTTTTTAAATTGACCGTCAATATACATATAAATAGAAACATAGCGTCAATATACTTAAAAATAGAAACAAGGCTTCAGATACACGAAATAATCTTTGAAACATGTGAAATAACCAATGAAAAAAGTAGAATGCTACACCATATGTAATATTTTAAGATATTCTCCATGGATTTATAACATAAAGAAAGAAATTTGTGGAATATCAATATTTTCCAAACTCAAATAATTCAGTAGTTATATTCAGCTACTCTACAATGGCTGCAAGGGAGAGAATCGTGGACACAGAGGGGGATTGAATTATTTAAGTAAATATTTTCCTTGTAATTGTAGATTTTTGATGGAAGAGATGATGATAAAACACACAGAAATGGAAGGATTTTCAGAATCTATGAGACAAGCAGCATCCAACCCTGAAGCCATCCATCTAAAGCAACAAAGTACTGTATTATCTACACAGTCAGGATGTGGTTGTTAATGACTGTAGATTTATATAGATTAGTGTTACTTATATTGTTAATAACTATAGATTTATGTGGGTCAGTGAAACCTACATTGTTGACAACTGAAGCTGTTCAAGCTTTAAATAGATCAACGAATCTTATATTAACAATATTCAACTAGAATTAATACCATATTCACAGGAATTAATTGAATTGTAAAATCTGAAGGATTGCATTTTAAATGCTTCAATGTAAAGAAAAATTAAGAGTTGTCTACTCAGAAAAAAATAAATGGTCGAATATTAGATTGATTGGTTGGTATTTAACAACACTTTCAGCACTATTGTACTATTTTGTGGCGGTCAGTTTTTATTGTTGGAATATTAGAAGAGAATGTAATATTTTAAAAGATTTCATTTACTCAATTGGTACTGCTATATTAAACTTTTTGTCTTTTCTTTTCACGATAGATTGCAATTTTGTTTTTGCTTGGTAGCACATAAAATGTGCTAAATCTATTAGGGTTGGTGAATTTTCACAGTTTAACTTCTTTCATACAGGTTAAATGGCAATAACCTTTTGTCAATCTGCTTGTTTAAAAGTTTCATTGAAGTATTTCATATTCATAATTCCATTATTGTAGAACCTTTAAAACCAAAACCATAAACATGTTAACCAATTTTTATGCAGAGGATCAGTTCAAATTGAATTTTATTCACAGCTGTCTAAGATACTGATACTGATTATTCTACATTCTTGTAATCAATAATGCTTTGGCAAAACTATTTGCCTAAGGTGAGATACCTTAGCTTAGATTTACCTGAGTTCTTTCTTGGCTATTTGGTTTCAATACCTTATGTTTTCAAATAGCTCTTGATAGAAAATTAATAAAACACTTGCAAGAAGATTTGTTAACACTAATATGGTTTGGGGGTTTTATTTAACATGTTAATTAAAGGCCAACATATTGTGATATTAAGTTTCCTCATTAAGTCTGCCTATTTAGTTGGTTTAATGTGAGCTTTGTAAGGCTTGGAATATCTGAAGTGTAATATTTTGTTTTAATCTGTGATATAATAAAGTAATACAAATTTTTAATTTGTGTATATAGTATTTTTACAGATTTTAAAAAAAAATTTTATAATCATATAATATTGACATAAACTTGTAATTAACATTAGGTTGATTAATTTTTTAATGATTTTTTGATAAACATAATATTGACATGGACTTGTCCATCAGGTAGAAAGATAGATGGTAGTTATCATTTCTTGTCGATCAAGATTGATTAAGAAATTGCAATATATTGATTTGAAATCCAGGATGTGAAGTGAATTTGTCTAAATTTCAAGTTCTGAACCATTGCTGATCATGGTCTATGTTGTATGTTTGAATTATTCTTGTTTTTGCTTGTGTTTTAAATTATTTTTCAGTTACAGTTTTCACACAATACCAACAATGTAGTATATTTATTCAGAAGGTTTCATGACTGCTTTCTATGTTATATTCACCAATTTTTTGATATTCAAAGCCATTTTGTCTTAAGTTTAAATATAGTGACATTCATTACATGTCAAAACAATACCTTTGCCTGGCTTGTGCGGAAAGATTCAACATACCTTTAATTGCATATAGGTAGGTACCTGCTGGTTCCCAGAAGTTAGGAAATACATAAACAAGTGTTTCTGATCCGAGGAACAGACAAAATATGCCCTTATATTTCAATTTTTTCATACCTTTTTAATTTTTCAAAATAAACATTCATCAAAGGTTCAACAGTGATACCAGTTCCTTAAACTTCCATTTTTTCAACAAAAGAATACCCAAATATTTTACTTATTTTGAAATTTGCAAAGGATCTCTATGGTATGCATGATCATGTTTATTAAATTAAATCAAAACCCATATAAGACCAAACGCATGAAAGATTCTAAGGAACTTTTATTTGGTCTAAATGTTTCTGTGGGTTGAAAAACGGTCATCAGGACAATTTTCTATATATGTTCTGAGCTTGAGTGGTTTGGTAGGTTCTTGTTACTTGACGTCATAAACAACAGTTGAAACTAAAGAGAATAAAAATGACAGGTCTGGAATGAAAAAAGTGACATTAAAGACATCGGTTAGTAAGGATAACAATTAAAATAAGAATAAAATAAAGACCGTTTTGAAGTTATTGTTTTCTAAGAAAATTATAGATTCCGAGTACAAATAGTTTTAAATGCCATAATTGTTCCGGCACGGTGGCACCTTGTCTGTAAGAAACCCTTGAAGTAGCTTTAAATAGAAATAAGCTTATTTTTTTTCATAATTGAAAAAATTTAAATAGTTGACAATTACAGCAGATTCCATTGAGTGTGTAGCCAAAGGTAATACATGTATCTTTGGTTAGCTTGCTTGTTAGCTGAACCGTGAAGTCATTATTAGGTCAGGTATACTACCCTCCTTTCGAAGTAGCATAGTCCAACAGACAGATCGATTGGTTTTCTGTCGGACAAGTCTATTCTTAAAGTAGGGTAGTTTACCTAACCTAACAATGACTTCACGGTTCAGCTAACAAGCAAGCTAACCAAAGATATTACCTTTGGCTACACACTCAATGGAATCTGCTGTAATCAGTCTGACTTAATAAGTTTGCATAACCAGTAAATAACAACTTTAAATTAAATATGTAATCAGCAGTTTATATGACAATCATTGTGATTTCTAAATAATAATACTTGATGCTAATGTTTGGTTTGCATTCTACTAGGAATATAGTCTTGTGTACTATAATAAAGTATGCAGCTTTAGTTCACATGAGAAAAAGTTTTTAAAATACATTTGTCATGTACTTAAGAATTTCAGAACATTAAAATTGTTATTTTTAATATGTTTTTTTTTATGGTTGTTCAAAAGTGAGGTTGAGTACAGGTACTCTTTAGCTGCCACTTAATTACAGTTTAATCTATGATATATAATTTTATGATAAATGTTTTATATATTTATATAATAAAAGTTGTTGAAATTTCTTTTACCAGGTACTTCCTTATAAATCGATAGTTTTCCAATCACAGCAGTGAACTTCCAGCCTCTTATTTGTCTTTTAATAAGACCTCCCGTTCTCAAAAGTTATAAGCTCCTAAAAGGTTGACTTGGGTATTGAAATAAAGTCATCCTTGGATTCCACCATCCTGCTGTAAAAGGCATGCTAAAGAGTGGTGTCTGTTTGGCTATACAGGATGTATACATATGCAGCCATCTGGTTGGATAGGTGACATAAAATCCAACACCTCTGACAGGGAGAGTGCCTCACTCACTGCATATTAAAGAACAAATAAAACAACTCTGGTGGCCTTTTGCAAGACAAAATAGGTACCCCTTTTCAAAGCAGCAAAACACCTGCTGCTGCAACCAGAGTTACCTGGTGATATTCTTCTTATTTTTAGCTCACCTAGCCTAAAAGGCCAAGTGAACTTTTCTCATCACTTGGCGTCTGTCGTCGTTGTTAATTTTTACAAAAATCTTCTCCTCTAAAACTACTGGCCCAAATTTAACCAAACTTGGTCACAATCATCATTGGGGTATCTAGTTTAAAAAATGTGTCCGATGACCCAGCCTGCCAACCAAGATGGCTGAAATGGCTAAAAATAGAACATAGGGGTAAAATGCAAGTTTTGTCTATTATTTTGAAAACTGTTATAAATAGAGAAAATCTGACAGTGTCAAAAATGTTCAGAATTATGAGCTCTACCATGGAAGTATTATATTGACAGGAACTCCAACGAAAAATTAACACATTCCCATCCCACTGATTTCTTTAAGAAAATAAAAGGTTCCGACTCAGTTTGTCAAGTACGTGATAACTCCTTTGTGGGGTATCTGTGATGCCGCCTTCGCCTGTTCTTTTAACTGAAGCTGGTCTTATCACATGATTTGGTATCGATTGTCTTATCTACCTACCAATGTAAATAAACACGGAAACTCCTGTGGTTATTTGTGAATCGCCACATGAATAACAACACCTTTTCCCGTTCAATAAATGAAGAACAAAGCTGAAAAGATCGAAAAAATCGGTCCATATTTAACAGAATGACATAAGAAAATTAACTGCATTCGGAAAGAGGGCAAGCTTATTTTTAGTTTTGTTGAGTATGTTTTAATCATTGGAACTTGGAAATCGGGAAATATCCGATTATGAAAATTACATGATTCTGAAGTAGAGTGTTTGCAGAAAATAATGTGATGCGCGTGTAGTGAGCCGGATGGTGCCTGATAACTCAAATTTTAAGTTAAAGATTGTAAACTGTTATCGAGTGTAACACAAATATTTATGGTTTTCTCTATCGTAAAATATCGTAAAATGTTATTAACTTATTTATCAAATATGTTTTAAAGACTAAAAGAGGTTAATAATTACACGCATGTGATAACCTCTCCATAGCAATATCAGGTTACGAGACATGCGGATGAATTTTTACACCTTTTATAATTAATCCAAAGTTGTAAACAACCTTAAACATTCAACCAAGTCCGAGATTACTCTGACGTCTGACAGATTTATTTTTACGGCTGGCTTTAAATATTTCTGGATGCATTTAAAGAACGATCACCATGATGATGGGCCTTAAGCAGTTTAATTTTTTTTTATCATGGAAACCAAATTAGAATTTATTTATGTGTTTAAAAGCTTAACAGTTCTGAAACATCTTACACCGTATGCTAAGCAATTTATGTTTTTGTGTTTCTTGTTTAATTGCATGAAATATTTGCCATTGGACTTTCAGTAAACAATAAATCAAAATATTTGATATTTTTTCGGATCAAAGTAACCCCGTCCACCCCCCCCTCCCCGGCCAACTTTTCAGTGGATTAAATTTTTGTTGGAAATTCTTTCATTAAACACTTCAGTAAAATATTTGTCAAAGTTAGCAGTAAAACGCGATAATGATTACTAATAAAAACTTTTAATTCCGTTTACTTTTCATGAGAATTTTATGATTTTCATGCCTAACATGTATATAACAGTTACACGTGTTTAGCCAACGGCCCTCTCATGAATTAAAATCTTACTATTTTAAAATTGATTGTAACTTAAACTGAAATGTTTATGGCTTGTGAGTATTTTTACTCCAGTTTTTTTTGTTTGTTTTTTAAATAGGTGAAAACAGTTGCGGGGATTTCGTTTCTTTTCTTTTTATTTGTTATTTAGCAGCAAAACCCGTCAAACTGACATTATATTTGTAACATGGTCGGTAAATGTCATTTCCTTGACAATTAAGTACACATCTGGTTATTTCGGTATGTTCCGTAATTACGATCATTCACGAGGTTCCAAAAATTTGATCGGAACCCATGCATCCAAAAACATGTCGAGTTAATTAACAGATACTTAACGATTTTGCGGCATCACACTATAAACGTTTGAAGTCCTCTTGTTGGAGTTCCTGTCAATATAATACTTCCATGGCTCTACCAATTGTTCATATACGTCAAAACTATCAGACGACTTCTTATAGGAGTTATTTCCCTTAAATGACAATTTTTTTTTACCATTTTTGTTCATTTTTGCCTATTATCTTGAAAACTATAATAGATAGAGAGATACTTTAAATTGCAAAAATGATAAGCATGACAAGTTCTACAAATAAGTCTGCATGATCTAAATCACAGTCGACTTCTCATTAGAGTTATAGCCCTTTGATGACAATTTTTACCAACTTTTTGCATTTTCGCCTTGTATCTTAAAAATCATAATAGATAAATAGAAACTTAAATAAGCAAAAATGATCAGCAAGACAAGATCTATAATTAGGGCAATATGGAGGAAATTGTTCAACGACTCCTTATTGGAATTATTGCCCTTTGATGACGATTTTTACAATTTTTTTTGCGTTTTGCCTTATATGTTAAAAATAATAATAGATAAATAGACACTCAAATTTCAAAAATGATCAACAAGGAAAGTTCTACTAACAAGTCAAATTTTGCCGATATAGTTAGTAGACTGTCACTCTTTGTAGGAGTGATTGCCCTTAAATTGGGAATTGTTTTTTACCCTCTTTTGTGTTTTGAGCAAAAACTAAAGAAGAAAATGGACACTAATCAGACTAAATGATCAGCAATACAAGATCAACAAAACAGATTTTTGTCATGAATTCTGTTCTTGTCTACAATGTTGGAGAGTTTCCTTTGTTGAATTTGCACATAGACCTAAGGTGAGCGACACAGGCTCTTTAGAGCCTCTAGTTTATATATTAACATGAATTTGTGTAGTGACAACAGTAAACCAGGAACCAGGGCAATTTTAATTTCAGATGACCATGGTAACAATGCATATTGATAAAGACATCTGTTTGATATATTTTATTAAAATAACTGTTTTGATGTATAAAGTTTTACAAAATGAGTAACAAATAAAATGTGTATAAAAAATGAAAACAATAAATTGTGACTTGATATAAATATAATAATTGTCAAATAATATTTGATATGATAATATTGCAGTTAAACTGGCTTTGGATATACCGAGTACAATACTATACTTTAACTATGTTCAATATATTATAAAATTCTCATGAATTAAAACGTTATTCCATGTAAACTATGTTGTTGAATGGATCTGAATGAGTGAAATATTCTTTCATAGAAATGACAGCGAAAACAGAAAGAATATTTCATGATCATCTGGTTTGTATGGAACTGACACAAAACAATTTTGACTCATGAGGGGTCTGGCAATGACCAAGACATGTAACACTAAACAAAACAGTGGACGGATACAATGTCATGCACAAATTTTATCACACATGTGGACGGATACAAGTACAAATTTTAATCACTTTTGTGGATGGATACATGTCATGTATCATTTTCTCAATTTACAGAAAATCATTTTATATTTGTTTTAAATATTAAGATTGTCAACAAAATCACATTCCTACTTTCACTTTACTTTTTCATGGACCTCAGGGGTAAACTATTCATAATTATAAATAAATGTCTAACTTACATTTACATATAATTATGCTACCTATGCTAATTAATTTTGACGAAAACATCAAGGTATTATGGTTGTTGAGTCGTAAATTGCACCAACATTACCCTTGATCACATTAATATCATTGATATACATGTACCGAACAAATAATTAAACTAAATACTTCAATTCAAAGCATGTCTTTTTTATAATTCTAAGCTTGAATCACCTTAATATCAAATAGATTTGTCTTCTGCATGATCCATTTTTAATTCAATATGTAATACACTAATTAAAAAATATCACTCAGTTAAAAAATCATTCTGGTCTAAAGATTCAACTGCAACAACAGACCAACAACAAAAATAACAACTAAGTAAAATCAATTTTAACAACAGCAGAAGTAACCCACTCATACTATACACATTTTGTGACTGACTGAATCACACATCACTCTCAGAAATGAAATCCTTGACAATACTGGGATTACTGGATGCAGCAAGAAATACAACACTTCATGCACACTTTCCAACATTTGAACCACAAAAATTTATTCTAAAAAGGGTGACTAAAGTCATAGCTTTTGGAAGAAGGCATTTATATTGATGTTAAAATTTACAGAATACAAAGAAAATATTGTTTTGATGAATGAATAATATCTTGACACTCTAAATAAATCCAGTAGCTCAAACAGGAAACTACTATTGAATTTTTTATTTCCTGGATTTTTTCGAAAGCAGTGGCAAATATGCACCACACTTTACACTCAATAAATGAATATTCATGATTTAACCAATGCAAAACAGAAACAGTTGTGTTGCACAAAAAATCTTTGGTTTCTTTTTATCTTTTTTTTTAAATTACTGCAGAAATAAATCGCCAAAACTGTGCAAAAGGGAGATAAATGTTTATCTATAGGTGATCTATTACAAATATCTACATGTATATAAAGAAACACACTGATTCTGAGTACAAACAATTACTGGAAGGATATTCTTGTGATTCTTTTTAAGATTAAATATTATCTTAATCCCACAAATATAAGCACTTAAAAATATAGTTCTTATAAATCATAAAAAAATCAACATCCCTTCAACTTGGAACAAAATGATTAAAACATTTAAATCATTAAATAAATATGGAAGTCATTGTGCATATTGATTTCAGTATAATCATTCTACATATGATTATTGCAATTTGCATAATCTTGTTATAAAAATGTGACGATTAAACAATGATAAAACTCCTTCCAAGTTTTAGTAGGATATGCAGATTACGTAAAAACAAATAACATGAAAAGTAAACTGCATCATCAACTGATCTTTGACTAAATCAAAACTAAATGTTTGGCAGCATTCTTGTAAAATTTTGAAAACTAAAATCTGTGACGACTAAAAATTCCCTTAACAATTACTACTTTCTGTGTAATCATACACAGATTTTTCAGTATTAATCTTTAACAGAGTATCATAATAATATCATTGGCTGGACGGTCAATAGAACACATGTTATAAAGTTTCTACCCTATGGCACTGCTATACACAGTATTTACGTTTTAACAGTTCTAAGTATTCTGCACTAGATTTGGCAAACGAAGAGTTCATGATACTGTCGTCATGAGTTCGTATCGCAGGCTGTATGTTGTCATGGGGGGCTACAAAAGAAATAAGAAAATATATAGCTACTTGTATTATACAGATTGATTTTCTATCATGTTCCACTAAACTATCAACTTTTCTTAAACAAAAATAAGACTTGAAAATTAGGAAAAAATTAATTCATAAATTATTTTTTTTTAGATTTTGACAAGAGTTACATTAAGGATGTTCACTACTCTGTTTCAAAATAACAAGCTTTTTAACAGACTGTTATTAATTGATATTATATAAATAAAGGAACTAAAAAGGCAGAAAAAAATGAAGGGTCAGTGTGCTTGTTTTTGAGATATAACCCATTGAAAATTTGGCGGGAAATGATTCTCTCTAGATTTTTCATATATTTTACATTGGCACCTTTTTTCTTTCAAAAACATTGAAAAAATAACAAGAGTTTTATAAGATTTTCAGATATGGCTTTTAAAACTATATGTTATAAAACTATGAAAAGAAAAGTAGGGGTTAGCGGGCAAAATTTATAAAGGCACTACATGGATAAAACAAGAGGATTCCAAATATCTGGCAAAAAATTCAAAAACAAGAGGAGCGAACATCCTTAAATAGAAATAGGACCAGAGTTTGATTTGAGCCAAATGACATTAAATTTGATAACCCCTGTCACAAAGGGTTTCTTTTTTTTTTCTTTGGTGAATTGTTCTATCAATTTAAATACATAGCCAAGATTGAGAAATTGTGTGCATTTATTTTTCAAAAGAACAGAGCCTACTTTTGAAAAAAGAGAACCATTCTAATCATTTCCTATCAACAAAGAAGACCTTACCTGCTTCTAAATGTTTGGCTATGCTACGATCTAACTCCACCCTCAGTCTATTACTGAGAATGTCGTCTCCATTCATACTCAGTCTGCTATAGTCCAATGCATTACCATTAACTGGTGAGGAAAATGATAAATTGTTTTGAATTCTTCCTCTCTGTCTTTCGGCACTGCTAGAAAAAATATCAATGCAACAATAAATCATTTGGATTCTCAATCTGTCTTCAAGGATGATTGCTTTATTTTCACATTTTCAACTTTTCCTTAATACTTTGAAACCTCTCTGACTTTTTTCTAAGCAATGCATTAAGAAATATTGCCTAGCAAGCCTTATTTGTGATTTTTTTTCAAAAGCATATACTTAAAAAAAATACCTATACAAAATATTTTCAAATTATTATTACATTTTTCATAAAGTTTAATATTTTTTTTCCTCACATACATTTCAAATAAAAATTCCAGACAAATATCCCACCTTCCTAAAAAAAATACATCTAATTATTCAAATGCTTGTATCTCCAAAACAAGCACACAACACTATCTATATTGACCCAAAATTTTGATGCCAATTAATGAAAATGTTGTCGATCTGAATTTTACAGTAAATAATGTAATAAACATATACATTCTCTAACCCTTGACCAATTCTTAGCTGATTTATATTTCCTGAATGGTTGATTATTTATTTTATAACAAAGTTTGGTTCACTTGATCTTAAATATTCATTGGTTAACATATCGATTGTTAAGTTTGATGAACACTTAAATCCATGATGATTTGAACTATAAATTTATGATATTTGAAATATGTAGAAAAATTTCAATAACTCTAGTTCTAATTGTTTATAATGTTAATTTTAAGTTTAATAATACAAGTGTCCAGTCTGGTTAAGTAAAATATAATGGTATAGATAATAATAGTACTGTGGATTCATTATTTTTGTTGGATACTAATTTTCGTTGATTTAATGGGTAAAGGTGATTCACGAATTTAAATGTTCAACCAAGTACAAACTTTCAATAGGCTTGTAAGCAGACTTAGGAAAAACAACGAAATCAAGTATCCACGAAAATACAAATTTTTCTCTATCCACGAAAATAAATGAATCCACAGTATTTCATTGCTCATTATTACAATAGCTATATCTGTAGATCCACTTATCATCTGAAAACTGAAAATGAGCATTAACATTGTAAAGCTACACATAGATGAATGCTAAGGTATTGCAATAGTCCTCTCTACTGTAGAAAGCTAATGAAAAATGTGTGAAAAGATAGCTATCGACTATGTGACTAATACTTGTGTATATGTTGACCTCTATGAAAATGCTATGTATATCAGATAAAATGTCTACATACAATATAAAAATTATACAGGTGAAATCAAATCTTGTTTCATGTCTAGCAATTAAAAATCAACAACTAATTCCATACACACAATAAGAAAAACAAACTAGTAGTTATTAAATAAAAGACTGAAAGAATTGAATGGAAAATATTTTAAATAGAAATCAATGAAAATGCTGTCAAGGATAATGGATATGGGCAATAATTTGGTATTCGGCCTTTGGTTTCTTTTTGTATCTTTTTTTTTAAGTTCCAAAACTTTAACTTTTATTCTGTGGATTGTGTTGGTGTGAGAATAGTACTAATGGAACAAGTGGGTTTTTCGAGCAAAAATTAATCCATTGTGATTCACCGTTTTCGTGACAGGAAACCAAACAGGAAACAAAACTTTATTTTCTTTATTTTGCACAATTTATTTCAAAAGACATAAATGAACACAATTACTAGTGTTACTTGCTTCATGTTATTATTTAAAATCTATTTTCAATGTTAAATTAAGGTTTTTTTTAAATGCGACAGGAAACCATAAGAAACCAAAAGCATTTTTTTTAGTTTTATTTTATTGGAAAATCAGCTTAAAATAATCTGAACAGTAAACTTTTTCTTGTTAATGTTACTTATAACTTTGGTTTTTAAATTTAGGACTGTTTTTGATAATTTTTTTCCAATAGACAATAAAAACTATGAGAATATAGAAACAAGGGTGTCACTAAAATAAATTATTTTTTGGGCGCCAACTGATTTTGACTACCAATGTATTTTCTCTTGCTTTTTGTTATAATTCTTATACACTTTTATATGTAGCACATGTGCCTACTAACCCTTAGAAACCCAATGCAGTGTGCTAGCTAGCTCTGTAACACAATTGCATGGTTTACACTTTGTGCTTATGCGTCACTAACCAGAAAATTCAAGCACTGTATAAACTGGGAGATCTAGCTAGTGCTACTTATCTTATATAATGTACTTTTCTATAAAGGGCTGTTCCAGAACTGAATGTATGGGGGTGTTGGGAGGCACTTTCTCAGCTCTAACTTTTGATTCAATTGGAAAGATGCAGGACATTTTAAATTTCTAAATTTTATTGAACACAAAACAAAAAGCGTGATCCAACAAACATATCAATGTTTGGAACATCCAATATGTTAGTGATAAAAATAAAATTGAGAATGGAAATGGGGAATATGTCAAAGAGACAACAACCCGACCAAAGAGCAGACAACAGCCGAAGTCCACCAATGCGTCTTCAATGCAGATGCAGCGAGAAAATCCCGCACCCGGAGGTGGTCCTCAGCTGGCCCCTAAATAAAATTGTGTACTAGTTCAGTGAAAATGGATGTCACACTAAACTCCAAAGCATATAAATGAACTAAAATTAAAAAACATACAAGACTAACAAAAGCCAGAGGCCCCTGACTTGGGACAGGCGCAAAAATGCAGCGGGGTTAAACATGTTTTGTGAGATCTCAACCCTCCCCCTATACCTCAAGTCAACGTAGAAGAAAGAAACACATAGCAATACGCACAGTAAAACTCAGTTTAAAAGAAGTCCAAGGCCGATGTAAGAATAGGTAACAAAAGAAACTAAGCAAAATGACAATGATACATCAATGAACATAGGACTACTAGCAGTTACTGACATGCTAGCTCCAAAATTACTAGTGTAAAACCATTCAAACGGAAAAACCAACGGTCTAATCTATATAAAAACGAGAAACGAGAAACACGTATGAACTACTAGGTCTTCATCATATGAAAATCAAGTACAATCCCTCCTGTTAGGGGTTTAGTATCATACCATCATACCATCATAAAATATATGAGAAGAACATAACCTGTATCATGCCAACAACTGGTTTTAGAATAAATGTGTTTATTTCCGATGCAAAGACCCTATGATTGAATCAATATTAATACCAAAATATGCCATCCTTAATGATTTTGATGTCCATTTTATCCACAGTATAAGTAGTATCTTGTAACTTCCACCCTGTCCCTTGCTTTTTGTAAAATTGCATGTTTTTATATAGATTAGACTGTTGGTTTTCCCGTTTGAATGGTTTAACACTAGTAATTTTTGGGGCCCTTTATAGCTTGCTGTTTGGTGTGAGCCAAGGCTCAGTGTTGAAGACCGTACTTTGACCTATATTGGTTTGCTTTAATAAATTTTGACTTGGATGGAGAGTTGTCTCATTGGCACTCATACCACATCTTCTTATATCCAATAAAAGTTTGAATTGTTTTACATTTGTGATTTCAGGACCTTTTATAGCTGACTGTGTGGTATGGGCTTTGCTCATTGTTAAAGGCCGTACCTATAGCTCAGCTGTAAATTTCTGTGTCATTTGGTCTCTTGTGGAGAGTTGTCTAATTGGCAATCATACCACATCTTCTTTTTTATATAGACAAGATTCCATATACAAAACATTATTTTGCGGGTGTATAGAAATTCAATGAAATCTTATAATTGTTCACACCCATTCATTACAACTGCTGGAAAATTACAATTAAGTATCATGGATTACAGAAATATAACCAAAAACCTGATATTCCAAAAAGAATAGCCCGGTTTATTTCACTCAATTTCTTTCCAAAATTTGTGACCACAAATATATAAATCTGATTAAAAAAAATTCTGGTAAGTTGTTATTGGGCTCGTTTCTCTAAAGGTCACAAGTTTGATTGTAACTTCTTATCATTCAATACAAATTATGACCGATCTTCAAAGTCACAAGTCCTGTCATTAAACAGAACCCTATAGTTCCTTTCAGCAAGGGCAACTGTAACTAGAGGCTCTCAAGAGCCTGTGTCGCTCACCTGATTCTACTTTGGTTTTGGAAATCATGTAAAAATAGATTAAAATCATAACAGATACCCTAATAATGAGTGAGGCCAAATTTGGTTTAATATTGGTCCTGTAATTTAATAAAAAATCCTGGTGGCCATCTTGAACAGTAAATCGGCAACAAAGTAGCAACACTTAATCAGCACCTCATAAGAAACATTTATGCCATGTTTTGGTTTCATTCCATTCAGTGCACCTCTAGAAGAAGCATTTGTATGTATTTCCCATAGGGTCTTATGTTAAAGGAAGTCCCCCCATTGGCGGCCATCATGGATGAAGGATCAGCTTCAAAGTAACAAGACTTGGTCAGCACCTCAAAAGGAACATGCATGCCATGTTTGGTTTCATTCCATTCAGTGGTTCTTTAAAAGAAGACATTTGTATGTATTTCCCATAGGGTCCTATGTTAAACTAAGTCCACCGCTGGCGTCCATCTTGGATTATGGATCGGCTTCAAAGTAACAACACTCGGTCAGCACCTCATAAGAAACATTCATGCCATGTTTGGTTTCATTCCATTCAGTGGTTCTCTAAAAGAAGACATTTGTATGTATTTCCCATAGGGTCCTATGTTAAACTAAGTCCACCGCTGGCGGCCATCTTGGATGATGGATCCGCTACAAAGTAACAACACTTGGTCAGCACCTCATAAGGAACATTCATGCCATGTTTGGTTTCATTCCATTCAGTGGTTCTCTAAAAGAAGACATTTGTATGTATTTCCCATAGGGTCCTATGTTAAACTAAGTCCACCGCTGGCGGCCATCTTGGATGATGGATCCGCTACAAAGTAACAACACTTGGTCAGCACCTCATAAGGAACATTCATACCATGTTTGGTTTCATTCCATTCAGTGGTTCTCTAAAAGAAGACATTTGTATGTATTTCCCATAGGGTCCTATGTTAAACTAAGTCCACCGCTGGCGTCCATCTTGGATTATGGATCGGCTTCAAAGTAACAACACTCGGTCAGCACCTCAT